TCGGGGCAGACCTAGTGTAGCCGCCAACCCCGAACAGACAGACAGACAGACAGACAGACAAACGACAGTCACAAATATTAGTATAGATTATAATATTATCTATTGTGATATATTACATCCCTTTACATGGTTCGTGTATTGGTCAATATATTATCTATTGTGATATATTACATCCCTATACATGGTTCGTGTATTGGTCATAATATATTATCTATTGTGATATATTACACCCCTATACATGGTTCGTGTATTGGTCATAATATATTATCTATTGTGATATATTACATCCCTATACATGTTCATATTTTCGACAATCATACATGTTCATATTATCGACAATTATACTGCATACATACTTATATAGTCATATAAATGCAATATGTCCACTAACTAAACTGTGAATGAAATGGGCTTAACGTCGTATGTATCTGTACCACCCCAAACCCGGGCTAATGAAGACAGGCATACGTCAGGTTGTGTGATATAATGGATAACCGGTCTATGGACTAATCTTATTTCGATTTCCAACCGTCCGGGGATCTTTAACGTGCTGCCAATGGTATTTATCATTCCACTCAAACGACTTGACACTTTTCAGTGGCAACTGGACTGGACAATCCTTAGCAGACCGGGAGCCCAGAGGGTCGAACGAGGTATCAATATCTGACCATATAGCCATCAACATACTAACCTGGGATGTACAGAAATGGGCGTCTGCCATGGTGGCACCTAGAATGACCCCCCAAATGGGTACCTATACTCATACATTCGAGGTACCGGTCGAAACCAATTTTAAATGAAAGAGTGCATCTCACAGAGGACAAAATTGCTCATAACAGACGATTTACCCTGGTATAGAACAAACTGACACCTTAAGTTATATGGACCCCTGGGCTTGAAAAAAAAAAGTTATATTCATACATTCGAGGTACCAGTTGAAACTAACTTTAAATGTACATCCCACTTAGTATGCTCTTGACTGGGCTAATGCAGACGGGCATACGCCATACAGTGTGCTATGAGGGAAGTTTTGCCCGGGCAGTGGCACTATGGCCTACTCTTATATCAAATTCCAATTGCCAAGGGATCTTTTACGAGCATAGCAATGTGTACAGGGGACTTCGGTCTTTCATCCCATCCGAACGACTAGACAGCTGTCCTTGTCAGGCCCTCCATCATACAAAATCAAATTATTTTAAATTGAAATAAATACCGACCACCAATCAGTAATTATTTATATGTATTTCTAAATATCACTTGTCAAAGAAAACGTGAACACAAGTAAGCAATGATGTAAGTTCTTCTAGAATATGAAATACCAGAACAGCGATCCATGTTGGCTCGGCGAATTTGGTGCTGGCTCACTAACCTTGAGATCTCGATGTTGGTGGAGGCAATTCCTATAGAACAGGGGCCTGTTTCACGAAATTTTAACTAAGATAAAATCCAAATTTTAGTAATTTGATTGGATAATATTAGGTTAATTTTAGTGCTTAGCCAATCAAAATTGAAGTATTTACTAAAATTTAGATTTTATCTTCGAGAACAGGCCCAGGAGCCTAGAAGAACGAGGTACCAATATCTGTTTATATAGTCAGCTACATAATAACCTGGAATGCACAGAAGTGGGCGCCTGCCGGAGTCTTGTCCCTGGGTGTGGCCCTGGTGATTCTGTAGGTTTTGAATATCCATTAAGACCGAAAGGTTCTATTATTTTGATATTAGATAATACTAGCTAATAAGTAATACTTATAATTGCTGGTAGCAGAAGTAGGAATGTAGTCCTAGACGTCATGACTGTTTATATAGATATGTTGTTTATAAATATTAATCTGACAAGGAATGTCCACAATATATCTTTAACCTTAGGATGAACTTGCCACAAGTTAATGGTGGTTCATTAAGACTGGTATAATCTGACATTTTACATTAGAATATGGGTCTATTTCTATTTGTATCATTTATTAATGTTTATTTCTTCAACCTCTGATTAATTAATAATCTTTTGGAGACATTTATTAACTAGACAGAGTAATAAACTATAACACATGCTTATGGAAAACAGATACTTATTTATTTGGACGACGTTTCGAAGAGAATTCATTCAAGCCTTACCCTAGCTTGATAATGCTGAGAGAATACTCTTCGAAACGTTGCTCAAATAAATTAGTATCTGGTTGCTATGTCGAGGACTTTTTGCAGGAGGGGGTTTGCCAGGTTCCTGAGACAATGTATCCCCCCCCCCCTCTCCCGCATGGTCTCTATCGTCATTTTGGCGTATATACATACACATTGAGCTTTTTAAACAGAGAAATTCAACATCTCGTTTGATATCAATTTTTATTATGAATTAATACAATGACATTGTGGTCCAATTTCATGGATGCAAAGCATTAATTGTGAAATCACATAATGTCTATATCATTATCTCGTGCTTTGAGTGCCCATCCTGTCCCACATCTGACGATAAAGGATAATGCACACGACCGAGAAACTTTTCTCATAAAATGTGTTGATTTACAAATTTTTTTATGTAGCTGAGTAGGGGTGGGGGGTGTCGACCCCATACCCCCCCCCATCTGGATCCGCCCCTGATGTGTTATAGTTTATTACTCTAATTATTATAGACCTATTTATCGACTTACCAATCGATTTGAATTTAGTGGAGATGTCATGTGACAGTATAGTCGATTTCAAAGTAAACAATAAAACTGTACACCCTACACTTTGTCACTTACACGCGGGGAATCGAAAGCATGCCATCGACTCAGTGACAAATCTCATGAACACATTATATAAAATACAAAATAAAGGTAACTGGAAATGTTTGATAATGCTCAAATCAGACGAGATTTCCAATCAGGCTATAGGGGGTGGAGGTGGCTATGTCATTAACTTATTTACACCATTAACTGTGTCATCATTAACTTATCTTCTTGTTCTTGTATCAGTTTACTCTTATTAAGTACTACTGCTCCATTTTTAGGAACATAATCGAATGTAACTTTTGATGCTTGTTCTTCTCTACTAGTAGGTTGTTTAGTTCTTGCTGCTCATGTTCAAATCTTCAGGACCTCTTATTTAAAAAATTCATGAAGCTTTTCTGGTGAGCTTTAATCATAATGCCTCAAGTATCAATGTATGGTATACCATGGCTGATATATATATATATATATATATATATATATGTCAAACAGACACCCCCCTCTGAAGTACATTAAGTTTGGTCTGCCTACCCCACTCTGGATGCCCCAGCATGCCTCTGGTTTTATATTATTTTAGAAAGAGATTTGTACATAATACAGGTAACTGAGGGTTTTTTAGGCATGAGAGATAGACTTGGGCAAACTTATCATAAAACAATTTCAATTTTATATTTGAACAAATATCTTATGTAACTACGATTGTCACAGGAATAAAATTTGCCTTCCATCAGAAGTTTTCACACACTGACTGACTATAAAATACCAGCACACGAAAAAGATCAATAAATGAAGATTTTACATTATTTTATTATTTACATTTTATACAAAAACAATTTCATGTTTAATATTCATATAGTTGGTAAAACAGCTAATAATTACCATAATGTTTTAATCTGAAAATAAATTTAAAGAGGCATTATTCAAGAACCAAATCTGCCTATTGCAGGTCTTTCTTTAGGCCTTAAATCTATAATAATATTATTGACTGTTGTTTGTCTGTCTGTCTGTTCAGGGTTGGTGGCTACATTAGGGCTGTCCCCAGGCTGAAATTTGGTGTATAGGGGCAGCTTGAACTGGGGAGTAACATTGTATCCTTCTAGTGTTATTAATAAGTGCTACACATTATTAATTAGACATTTATTAACATGACAAGACCATAATCAATTCTTGGCGCCATCAGATAGATCTAATATTAAGTAGATTATAATGGTTCGGCCATTTTATGATTTAATTTAAAAATTGAAGATTGAAGAAGCGAGGCTAATAACACGCATTATCTATTTTAGCAATAACGGACAGTTCTTTAACTAAATCTTACAAAATGTATCTTTAAAGTAGATATAATTGGTCTATTTGTTATATACTGTACTAATATTGGTTTAAGGCGGGGGTGGGGGTTCAAATACGGTGTCACACTATGGGATGGTTTCACCAACTCAAGACAACCACTTAAATTCTACTGGTGTGGACCATTCAAGACTGGATTTAGGGATAAATGTTCTCAATTTACAGCTATCCGGATTCTAGATCCTCTCACATTTACCATTTTTACTGAGATGGCTATTATTGTCTTTTAGAAGAAACATTAAAATACATATTTAACTATATAACATACCTATATAATAAAGCTGTGCCAGTCTGATTAGCAACTGTAAAATAACCACTGTTTGTAGAGAAGGCCATATCTTGTGGTATACGTAAAGATTTATCTAACAGGTCAGGAAAATTAGAAAATACTTGCAGAGAGGGAAGATGTACCTTAAAAATCCGAGAAAAATAAAGCTTTTTAAATTATCAATAAATATTATCAATTTTCTATAATGTCTTGTTTTCAGACAAACCTATGGCAAATGAATGAATGGAATTGGGTTTAACGCACCACAATTTCTGCTACAACAGGGCTAATGAAGATGGACATATGGCTTGCAGTGTGCTATGAGGGAAATTTTGCTCTGACAAAAATTGAATCCAACTGTTATGGGTTCTTTTACGTGCACACCACGTTATCTTTAAATAATTTTCTCAAGCACCATATCGTCACATTTAAAAATATTTTTCGATATATTCATCAACAGAGCAAGTACTTACCAGTTTTATAGCTTTTTCTGTATAATGTGAATCAATGGCTAATATTTCTGATGTAGGGTTAAATACTGTATTAGTACAAGGTGTTATTAGATTCATTATAGTTTTTATTGGCTTAGGATCCAGATTTAAATGACATTTCTCCCTTTCATAAACATTTACAACACCACTATATGACCTGAAAATATTTTAAACATTTACACCATCACATTAAGACCGTAAAATATTATAAACATGTACAACACCACTATATGACCTAGAAATATTATAGACATTTACTACACCACTAAATGGAGGCCTGTAACCTAAAGAGGGTGGGGGGGGAAAAGCATCTTCACCTCATGAACATTAACTATTTTGAAAATACTTAAATTAAGGGAACAAGGCAATGTAGTAAGATGTTTAAATGTTTAATTCAACATAGCGTCCCAGGGTGGTTAAGTTATATTTATAGCACGGCTTTCATGAGTTAACAGGTTTCAACATCGAAGTCGTTAAACCTGTTAACGAATGAAGCGTGACTTTAAACATTGACACCTGCTCAACATGCTTGTTATTATTGCACACCATTCCTCGATTTCTACTAAAACAAGTGTAAACCAGCAAAAGTGTGCAATAACATTGAACATGTCTAGTTATTGCATGGTTAAGCTCCACCCAATCTACTAGAGGGAAAACACTCTGCTTATTCAACGAAAAGAACAAAGGAAGATTTCCAGTCCATGTTACAATTCATATTGATACAGGTTAATAGTTAATTTAATTTTGTATACATTTAAAGTTTATTGGATGATAACTTTAGCTTAAAGACAGTCCACAAGATTTTTCAAATTGGTCAAGGCCCGTAGCTCCAACAACAATTGCTGAAAAATAAAAAGGCTTCTCCGACTCTTGATCTTAGACACTGTGTATAAATTTTAGCCTCTATAAGGTCCATATTTCAATGTGGGTCTGTAAAAATGTTTTGGAAACTTACCCACAGACTAGATATTGACCATTAGGTGAGGCTGTTATAGAGGTACCTTTAATACAACCATCATCATAGAATCGATGTATACATGATCGGGTACTCATATCCCATATATATACTTGTCCATCACCTAGGTAACCATATAAATAACTTCATTTTATTAACACAAACAGAATATACCAATAAAACATATCTTATTCTTCTTCAGTAAAATTTGTGTCAGGTGTCATAAAATCAGTTGTTATTATGAAGTTGATTGTCAAATGCTTTGATTTGGGTAAAAAAAAGGTACTGAATAGAGAGAAATAAAATGGGGTTTAACATCCTACTTTTCTTCACTGACTAGGCTAATGAAGACAGTGTGCTATGAGGGAAATTTTTCGTGGATAACTTCATGACGGCCTACTCTTATATCGAATTCCAACTGTCAAGAGATCTTTTACGTGACTCCAATGTACATACGTGACCTCGTGTTTTTGTACCATCAGAACGACTGTATGTTGTCCCTTAAGTTTGCCAAGTCTTCTGTCCTACATCACTGACAAGGGGGGAACATGCGGGAAAATCCAGATGAACATTTTCAGCCAACAAAGAAATTGAACACAGGGCCTCAGGTTAGCGAATCAACATCTTATTGACTGAGCCACTGTGGCTCCCATGCTGAATAGGACTCATTTTTAATCAGTGACAGAACAACCTCTATAAAAATATGTTTAAATTTGTTACTTCATTCAGATCAAGCAGAATATTAGTATATTTTTAACTTAAGCAGTTGGGTGCATGCACTTTAGATCATTAGGTACTATATAAGTTCATTATATTATTATTAATTGGCGTCACTTCGTTTCCCCACTTGTATGTAACAAGGAGTAAGGACGCCTGCCTAACCATGTGGGTTTTCTCTGGGTCCTCAGCTCATTGTTAAAGACCTGTGCTGGCAAGCAATTATTGAAATATAAAATTGTAGCCAATCTGACCTACCGGTGGTTTATGTCTCTATACTGACTAAATGAAGATGGATACCCACAATTCAAAACCAAATTTCTATTCTTTTATTTTTTAACCTAAATGAAAGCAGGTGATTTCAACCTTGGCAGTGGTTATAAAGTCTAGTTATTTGTTCTACTTACTACCAAACGTATACATGAAAGAACCATCCTTAGTGAAAGTTAAATCTTCCACAGTACCATTCATCTTTATACTTTCTATTAATTCCTTAGACTGAAATAGAAAAATACACTAGTCAGTCTAATAACACATAAAATACAATAGTCTGTCTAATAACACATAAAATACAATAGCCTGTCTAATAACACATACTATACAATTCTCCGTCTAATAGCCGGTGTTATGACACATAAAATCAATTTTCTTTCTAGGAATACCCAATAGACTGTCCTGGAATTCAAGTCTCTTAATCCAACTAAGTCCATTAACACAAGATAATCCAAGATTCCACACACGTCAACTGAATATGATGACATTTGCACATAGTTTGATTACACTTAATTATCAAAAACAGATTAAACATTATATGTAATAAACTAAGAAGTAGTAAATCCATAATGTTGTTTTATTATGAATTTTATAATTCAATGTCATTCAAAGATATTGTCTAAATTGTGTTATATTCAACTTGTTTTTTATACTTTCTGCTGTATTTATTTGAAATCATCCAAATAATTTAAAGCTGCAAGTTCATAAGAATAATAAAAAAGGACATTTCTGTGTCGTTTTGAATCAAAAAGAGTTCTAGAACAAAGGTGGACATTTATTTAGATGTTTTACCTAATTTAGCAACAACGTGTTGCATGTGGTTGATTATCCAGTCAAGTAAGAGTTGCATCCCTTCCCAAAATAAATCCCATATTTCATGCATTATTATAAACAAACATGAATCATGACGAAAAAATATGATTAATTAAAAAAACATAGATATGGTCCATGAAGAGAGAAATTTTATATTAAAAAAATTAAGAGTGTTGTATATTGAACTGGCTATGCAAATGGGTTTTCTGAAATGGCAATTCTTAAATCAATTTCATGGGTGTCAACATCTTGTTTTAGGTCTATTTACCTCCCTTAGACTTTGTTCATGATAATGTAAAAGACGGATAATCTAGCCAATGACCTATTATTCTCAAATGTTAACAACCCATCCAGATTAATATTTGTAGAATATGATAGAGACTATATCTCAGGCCGAGTTCGGTCCAGTACATTAAAAAAAAAAAAACCTATTCTTTCAAAATCATAAATATCTTCCACTCTCAAACTAGACAGTCATTACCACTACCAGAGGGATACTCGATTGAACGTTCCGGAATTAAATTTTCTCCATTCCCAAAATAGTGTCAATCAAGTGAAAAGGAGAATTTCGGAGTACAACGCATGTGCAGACTGCATAAAAAATATTTTAACCAATCATGATAAATGAAACATATTTGTTATTTAAAAATATGTCACGATTCTACTCACATCACCTCGGCTGTCGGGACTGGCAGAGTTGTGACAGGGCTGAATTCTGTATCACATGATTGCAATTCTATCTATTCTATCTATTCGACTGACAATCGAGCACCCCCCAGTTGTTCTCCAGTTACATGTAACTGCTTGCATTTAAGAAAAATCAGTAACATCCAAAATAGAACTTAATGATATTACCCCGACTTCCAGTCACTATCACACCTTACCTTTGCAGAAACAAGATGTATGTTTCCATGACGACCTAGGAAGGTAAGGAATCTGCCATCTGGTGAAACACGGAAATGACTTGTATGATCTTCATTCATACCTAAATATACAATAAAATACAAATAATCAAGCGCTAAATATCCAACCAACAGGTTGCTCAAGAGCGCTAATATATTATCAAGTATCATATAGTGTTAAACCGTAACCTTCAGCTCCTATTAGCATCAATTAGCACACATTTTACACTAATGACAGAAACATAGACCAACTGTATAAATTTACGCTATGTCTAGGACACAGAATAGTATTAATTATTATACAATATATAAAAGTTTTAAATATTCCCACCTTTTATTTTTGGTACTATTATCATTTTACCAGCTAACATATCGTAATATCTGAATGAAGGATAATGTGAACCAGCTATAACCTCTTCACCATTATGACTGAAGTGTGCATTTAATATCGGAAATCTTTCTATATAAACACTCTGTATTTTTGCATTATGTTTACCATCAATCTATAACACATACAAAATACAGAATTATTAAAGATGCATTATTCAAGAGCCAAATCTGCCTAATGTAGATCTTTTGTTGGGCCTCAAATATTATATAAATCATTAATTAGACATTTATTAACATGCCAAGCCCATAATCAACCCTTTAACGAAACAGAAATGAGGTTGAACGTCCACTGACTCAATATCAACTATATTATTTCGATACTAACATATGGTACAATTTTATTCCAATAATTTTCTTGTGCATAAGGGATTTTTAGCAAAACAGAAACCAGACAACCCAACACAACTACGCCACTTGAATGACAAATTCTTATGACCTAAAGCGCATGTGTCTGTTGGACCATACTGGTGGTTAACAGGAATATTGCATGAAACAGAAACCCCAACGGGCCAGCTCTTCCTTTATCAAATATTAACACATTTTCGGGAAGAGCAGAGATTTTCCTCACAAGAGTACAATCTTGAGTTATATTTTTCTGGTCGTTTTTGCAATAATAGTTAAAAACAGATAATGCAAATGGAATATATTGCAAATTTCCTTGAAATCAATTTATTCCCAGCAAAGTCATCACTGTTTGGATTTCTGACAAGATGTGGCATTGATTTTTTATTGTAGTAATAGTACTTGTTAATTAATGATTAAATGGCGATTGTGTTTAAATCTCTTTATCGGATGATCTTGAGAGTTGATTATAGGCTTGGCATGTAAATAAATGTCTAAATACTAGTTCATAAAACATTTAAAGCCAAAACAAAGACCTGCATCAGGCAGATTTAGCTCATCTTCAATCAATAAATATGACCCGTACTGGCAAAATGAATTGGAAAGAGCAAAGTCTAATAATGAGCTACAGACAAAACAAGATTGATTTTGATCGAAATTGAGATTTTCACAAAAATGAGTCTATAAATATACTATCTATCAACCCAAAAGATCAAAATAGCAATAAAAACTGATTGGTAGTTAGATCACTTGTGCTCTTGACCCTCCAATTATTGTCTGGCATGAACAATTAAAGGCTCTTGCAACAGTGACCACAGACTGACCAGCATAGAGCCTACCTATAGCACGTAGACGTTCTACATTTGAAAGGCGCGGCATTTTCTAACAAAGATGAAAATAACAATATTAATTTGTTTTTCCAGTTCAAGTTACGTGTGCGTGTTCAGTTTAAGCAAAATTGCATCGATTGACCTCACGAGTTTGTGTTTGCACATGTTTTTCATCTTTATATGCTCAAAAGTCACGTGATCCATGTGACTTTACAATTTTATGAAATTAAAGGCTTATTACTACTTACTATCGTTAGAAACACTTTAAAATTTATTTGACTTACCAGAAAAAAAAATTTGTTGAAATTCATCAGTGTCAAGTTTTTAATTTGGCTGAGTATATATAAATGTTAAAAGTAAAATAAATATTGACACTGAGAAAGTAAAGACGAAATAAAACATATCTTTATATTGTCTTTCAAATGTTCATTAATATTTTTGTTTTTATCTTTCATTTGTTTGCCAATGACTGAATTTTATGATGGATAACAAACACACACAATATTAAGCAAAGCGACCGGAATAATGTTTTGAGGTGTACATTGTGAAGACATTCTAGCAGGGAGTTACTCAATGAAATTTAGAAGGCCTATTATACCATACTCATTTGACAATGGGAACCCAAGCAATTTTGGGCTGTACTATTTACCTGGAAGAGGGTAAAGGGTTGATTTTTAGCTGCAGTTAAAGCAACTTGAGCTGTAGGATGAAATTCTAAAGCTGTTAATCTGGCCTGTCAAATATAAAAAATAAAATCCAAATATTAATAGTTAAACCATTACAAGACTGAATTAAGCTGGCATAACTCAAAGTTTATATGGGGGGGGGGGGGATCTCCATTCTGATTAAAATACAGATCTATATTTCGTTTCGTTTTTTTATACTATCGACGGCCTACACTACATGAAGATCCAACCGGTTGTACTGGAAGGTTGCGTCAGGGGTTGTACGAGCGGCTTTTGACCATATAACGTCAGACATTGATTAAGCAATCAGCGTTGACATTTCTAGTGGTTTACCCACAGTTCCATGCATTGCCCACCAAGAACTCGCCATAACAGACCGTTTCATTGGCCAATCCCTCACTTCAACCAGAACGCCGGTAATATAACTACTCTTCCAGATCCTAGTGCACATGTAGTAAAAACAAGTAAAACAAAATTTTGAACTATAAAAAACAAAATGAAATAGGATCTGTATTTTTAATCAGATTGGGTTGGCCTCAGGTGTATGTGCGTTAGATCATAAGGTCTGTCACTGAGATGAGTGGCATGGTTTTGATTTCCCGCTTGTACGTGACAGGGAGTATATAGGGTGGCCTGTCCTACCTTGCAGGTCCTCTCTGAATCCCCCAGTTGTCTCCCACAGCTAAAGACGCCTACGCGCAAGTGAATTATAGAAATAAAATTGAACAATGTTAGTACCGAAATGACCTAGTCTGTGCCGAGTGGACATTAAACCCCATTTTTCTCTCAAAGTTTCTAATATTAATGAATCATTTTAATCATAACAGTAGGAGTAGATACTGGTAATAATATATAAATTTTACCAACCTGTGATGATGAATCTCTGTTTAAATCTGTACATTTTTTAATCTGTAGAGTTCCTGATGGTAGTGATGCTGATGATGATAGGAAATTCCCAGTTGTATGTAATAATTCATCTACATCACTGTCATCTATATTATATAAAAACAGGATAATTATTGTGTTGTATGTAATAATTATTCTACATCACTGTCATTTATTTAATATAAAATATCCTGTGGACTACATACATGTATATAACATAGTGATGAGATCAATATGATGAAAACTATACTCGATGGAGGAGATGGGAGTTAGAAGGGGCAGCATTGACATTACAGCTACAAAATCTGTGTGTAAGTCTGTAGACCTAGTAGAGAACAATTAGTTATTTTTTGTAAATAATCTTGTATTCAGTTTAGTGTAATGTACCAGTAAATAATGTACATGTAAAGTACCAGTAAATAATGTAAGTGTAAAATACCAGTATCTTAGTGTAAAGTACCAGTAAATAATATAAGTGTAATGTACCAGTAAATAATCTCAGTGTAAAGTACTAGTAAATAATCTTAGTGTAATTAATCTTAATGTAAATAATCTTAGTGTAAAGTACCAGTCATCTAAGTGTAAATTACCAGTCAATAATTTTAAGTGTAAACTACCAGTCAATAACTAAATTGGCAGACAGAGACCTCTGATGTCTTATCATTAACACCCCCGAGATAAATAGTGGCAGGAACTGACTGAGTTAGTCTAAGACAGTTGAATCTTGCAGAATACCTACTTCGCGCACTTCTCGTTGTCACCCATTTGTATAACCACTTCAATATATTAAACAGAGCACCTCCCATAGAACTAAAATAACCCCTATAGTATTACAGCTATAATAGTTCAAAAATAGATAATGCAAAATGACTATTGTGAAAATTTCATTCAAATTACTTAATTCCGAGTGAAGTAATCACTGTTTGTAGTTTTGACAAGATGTGTGCATTGATTGTTTATCATTGTAACCACAGTCCTGGTTATTCAAGCCTTAGCCTTACTTCTCAATCATTAAATGGCTAGCCTATAGCATCGAGAGTTGATTATGGTCTTGCCATGTTAATAAATGTTTAATTAATAATTTATATAATTTAGCTCTTGAATAATGCCCCTTTAATTAAGCAATGTAAAAGGTAATCTTTATGGCAGATCAAACTAAATTTAATTAGAATGACATTTCTGTATTCACAGAAACCACATGAATTTTTATTATTTTTTTAAAGAATATTTGTCATTATTTAAAACTAATCTGATTTAACATGCGTTTTATCATGAACGTAAAAATATCCAATTGTTTTCAGTTATTTTTGATAAATTAGTGATAATTAATGATGTACTAGTAAAAATATATAGCAGTATTTTAAAATTTTGAATCGTTTTTACAAAAATCTAAAGATTAATTGGAAATAAGTTAACTTCAAAACATTATTACAAGCTTAATGAAATACAGGCTAAAATCTAATTTCTTTTTTTGTGCTTTTGATGGCCTATTCTTCATACAGATCTGGCTGGTCAAGGGTCACGTAGGTAAATTTTGAATGAATGAGGTAAATTATTTGTATATGTAATGTTTGTTTTGTTCTCAAATGGTTTATAGATGTCTCTCATAATACATGTACGGTTCACAATTCACCTTAATAGATCATTTCATTGGATAATCTCTTATTCCAGATCTCATTGTCGTAAAGATTAATAAGACCAAATTTAAACTATAATAAAACAAACCGAAATAGGATCTGTGTTTTAATTAGAATTAATGAAATATATAGAAGTGTGCTAGAGAGAAATTTTGCCAGTACAGCGGTCTTAATCTGAATTCCAACTGTCGAACTTTCTTTTAGACGCAAGCCAATGAGTACATGGCAACTCATTGTTTGGGGACATATGAATGAATATTACTTTCCTGACCCCTTGCCTGGCACTACTGATAATAATAACAGATATATTCATAATATAATACTATTTAATATATTACCATCAGAATCTACTAATTCTCTGTCTAACTTCGCCCAATCTGGAGTCGAGTTCACTTTCTCAAACCTAAAAGCAGAAGAACATTACAAAGTATAGAAAAGCAACTTTGTAAAGTAGGGTATTATTGTTACATGAATTATGCAAATAGGATGTGGCTTTCGCAAAACATCTTCACTGACAGAAGACAATGTGAGTGATTTTAGCATTATATATTGTTTTGTCAGGATACGTGTAAAGCTAAGATATCTTATTGGCTAAAGTTTGTCCATTTGACTTTATATTTTGAACTCTGTATGTAACTGTATAGTCAAATCATTTCACATCATATCCTCGGTAGTCAGTATCCCCAGTGATATCGTTACATTCGGGGCATAGACACTCAAATTATCTGGCTTGATAATTGTCCTATTTTTATCGACTAATCAAAAAATTTTAACGGAGGCAACTCACATTTTACTGCAACTAAATCGAGCATACAAACTGCTTTATTGTGATGAACGTAAACAATGACGCTAAGACTGGTATGTAAATTAATTTTTGATAACGTGACAATGAATCATCAAGGACACAGGGCTTATTGGAGCAGAACGGAACAATGCCACAGGGGATAACGAGGATCGTCCCATCAAATCAAAACTATTTGTTTTACCAACCAGTAAAAGTATTGATGTCTCTTTAAGAATATTTACCTTTCCTTTAATCTTTCTTTATAAACATCACCAGATAAACTTTGTTCCGATCCTATCTTTACACCTTTATGTTTTGGGGCATCGGTTACCTGTACGCTAAAAAATAAAACATACATACATGTACAGGTATGTCTTATCTATTTATCTGTTTCAGGGCATCGGTTACCTGTTCGATAAAATATAAAACATACTTGGTGCAGTAAGGAGGACTTAGCAAGGGACAATGTATAGACATGCAAGTAAATGACAGTTGTAGGAAGGAATGCTACTGTCATGCAAAAATTTTGCTCACAATACAATACAAGAGAGGGAGAAATGGGGTTTAACATCCACTCGACACAAGAGAGAGAAAGAGGATTTGACGTCCACTTGACACAAACCAGATCATTTCGGGACTAACATATGGTCCAATTTTATTTCAATAATTTGCTTGTGTGTAGAGGTCTTTAGCAGTAGGAGGAAACTGGAGATCCCGGCAAAAATCCACGAGGCTGTCAGGCGACCCTACTCCTTGTCACATACAACCGGGGAATCGAAACCATGCCAGCCAGTCCACACACACACACACAATACAATGAACGAAGTAGGTCGTTAGAGCAACCTGATTAAAACACAGATCCTATTTCATTTCGTTTTTTATAGTCTCAAAATTTCATTTTACTTGTCTTTACTATACTAGGATCTGGCAAGTTATCATTGACATGGTCTGGATTAGCCAATGAAACGGTCTGTTACGGTGACCTTCTGGTGTGTGGTGCACGGAACCGTGGGTAATCCACTAGAAACATCACTGCTGATTAGATAATCAACAGTCCCACGTCATAGGATCAAAACCCGTTCGTATGACCCCTGACGCAACCTATCACAACAACTGGTCACATCTTCATGTAGTATAGGCCATCGAAAGTATTATAAAACGAACGAAATATAGATCTGTATTTTAATCAGATTTGTCGTTAGACACTATTTCATTTCAACTTATACATGTACATGTATCTCCAAAATTCTAGATATAACAAGATATCAAAAGGTAATACTAATTAGTAGTGTGAAGTTTCTTGGTTCTAATGCTAACAACTACAGATACTGTTATATCTAAATGTGACAGTTAAAGTTTAAGGATAACAAATGATATTAATGAACATTATGTCTGTACTGTACATGTACCTTTCAATATCATCATATTCATCCTCCCATGCAGCTTCTCTATCTTCTCCTTCAAATAATGACGTTCCTACAAACTTTCTCTTTCTAGATTTTTTTGTCTGGAAAAAATAACAGAAAATCCTCATCACTGAATCCCTGTGATTAAATACAATAAATACTATATTGAAAAAAACCTTGAAGGCAATACATGTATCTTCTTGGTTCTACATGTAGTTCTAGTCAATCCACCTCAGTGACAGAGGTAAGGCAAAAAAAGAAGGCAGAGGCTATTTTGCCGGCAGTCGCGCTCTGATTGGTTCATTTTCACTTCCGTTTGACATGCGCAGTTCTCTTATTCCTGGACTTAGCAGTTTTCGCTTTGACAATGATGCCGGCTATTTCAACTTGTGGGCTACTTTGCCATCTGACATTAACCCATAACCAAAACCCTCACCCGAACCCTACAGTTCTATTCGTCTTTTGTCTAACATTACTTCTTTCTCCGTTTCTTATAAAGGGACGAAATAGCCATTGTTGAATTTCTATGGTAGAAACTTTTAAAAGAAAATAAGATAATAAATGTAAATTGTAGAAAAGCATTTAGAATATTATTCTATTTTGGTCGAGGACGCATTTCTGCGGATTTTGGTTTTTAATTTAAGTACTAAGACTGTCAGTGGTTTTTGTTTTTCCTGTAAAATCGCGCTTCTACGCCGAACTTGAAAGACGGGGTAGTCAAAATGGTGGAATATATCAAGAATCGCACAACAGCGCATGTCGAACGGAAGTGAGGAAAAATAGCGTAAACGGAAGTTTTGCCGGAGCCGGCAAAATAGACACTTCCAAAAAAGAAATACTTAAGACCAGGGCTTATTAAATATGATTGTGCCAACTTTTACTAATAATATTTGGAAAGCTTATTCAATTACCTTTCAGAATATATATAGCTGGTTGCTCAGAACTTTGTACGATGGTCCGAATTTTGACTCGGAATATTACCGTTCTTTCAATTTAAAATATTGAAAAATTGGCTATGTTCAGGTTGAGAGCGCGCCCCTTTAATATGATTGTGCCAACTTTTACTAATAATATTTGGAAATCTTATTCAATTACCTTTCAGAATATATATAGCTGGTTGCTCAGAATTTTGTACGAAGGTTCGAATTTGGACTTCGAAAAAAATACCGGTCTATCTTTACATATAGAATATTGAAAAATTGGCTATGTTCAGGTTGAGAGCGCGCCACTTTAATATGATTGTGCCAACTTTTACTAATAATATTTGGAAAGCTTATTCAATTACCTTTCAGAATATATATAGCTGGTTGCTCAGAATTTTGTACGATGGTCCGAATTTCGACTCGGAATATTACCGTTCTTTCACTTTAAAATATTTAAAAATTGGCTATGATTGTGCCAACTTTTACTAATAATATATTGGAAAGCTTTCAGAATATATATAGCTGGTTGCTCAGAATTTTGTACGATGGTCCGAATTTTGACTCGGAATATTATCATTCTTTCACTTTAAAATATTGAAAAATTGGCTATGTTCAGGTTGAGAGCGCGCCCCTTTAATATGATTGTGCCAACTTTTACTAATAATATTTGGAAAGCTGATTCAATTACCTTTCCAAATTTATATAGCTGGATGCTCAGAATTTTGTACGATGGTCCGAATTTTGACTCGGAATATTACCGTTCTTTCACTTTAAAATATTAAAAAATTGGCGACGTTTAGGATGAGAGCGCACCCCTTTAAGATGATTGTGCCAACTTTTACTAATAACATGTAGAAAGCTTATTCAATTACCTTTCAGAATATATATAGCTGGTTGCTCAGAATTTTGTACGATGGTCCGAATTTGGACTTCGAAAAAAATACCGGTCTATTTTTACATATAGAAAATTGGCGACGTTTAGGATGAGAGCACACCCCTTTAATATGATTGTGCCAACTTTTACTAATGACATTTAGAAAGCTTATTCAATTACCTTTTAGAATATATTTAGTTGGATCATCAGAATTTTGTACGATGGTCCGAATTTTGACACGGGTTATTAACAGTTTTTCCCTTTAAAATTTTTTAAAAAATTGGTCATGTTTAGGAAGAGAGTGCACCCCTTTAATATGACTGTGCCAACTTTTACTGATAATATTTGGAAGCCTATTTAATTACCTTTCGGAATATATTTAGTTGGATGTCTAGAATTTTGTACGATAATGCGAAATTACACCTCTATTCTGAGCTAAAGGAATGGATAAAAAATAATATATTATTCTACTTTCATTTGATAGACGTAACGTTGGATTTTATTGGTTGGTAAAAATAGATGAGTTTGGGCGACTGTTGTCTTAATTCTGAATAGGTTGCCAGCTGGATCGGTCAAATAGCTCGCTAGCCGAATAGGTTGCCAATTTGTGTTAGGTGAAAAGGGGGAACCACGCTGGAAAATCCCAATGGCAACTGTGAACTTTCTTTCTTGCACACTGAAATCAACACAGAACATCCAGGTTAGCGAACCAATATCCTACCCACCGAGCCACTGCAGCTCCCTTCAAGCATACATAAGCAGAGAAAAAAAATCACCTGTTTATGTTCTTTTTTGGAGCCAAAACGGTCGACAACATCATCTGCTCCACCTAAAACTAGTACTTCGAGAGCTCGTTCATTTTCAGCTTTCAAATTACGTTTGCTTTTTCCACCTAAAGCTCGACTTGAATTCTTCTTGGTCGGTTTGTTACTAGATTTGTTAGCTACAAGTTCGGTTTGTTTCTTCAGTGCCCTTCTCAACATTTTAAACAATGTGACTATATCAATATTTATAAAGAATAAACAATAATAAAACTTGATTTTATCTGTCAACACGTGCACATGTTTTTAGTTTACTTTCAATTGTCATAAAGAGGTAGATCTAGTACGGTAGAAAGTCGTAAACCAAAAATTAAAAATTGCTAGGTTGGAATTTATTTGTTAAATAACCGTGCTTCTGGTGCATATAGTCAAGGCATAATTCCATTTTGATTAGGGATAGCAATAACAGGAACTGTTTTTGTTTTCAATGTCGTAAATTTGTTCCACGAGTTCGCTCCCCTTGTCAAGGGAAATAAGCTGGCTGATATCAGGTAGCAGATCACTATTGATTTCTCCATTAACTATTCCCAAAATTTCGTTGAGACCAATGGTGACCAGTCCAACGGTCCCGCATTTCGCGGGACAGTCCCGAAAATGTTTCTAAGTCCCGAAAACCAGCCAAAATGTCCCGCAATTGCTTACATGGAATACTTCTATTACGGTAATATGCGTGAATCTACTCTCGCAATAGTCTATTTGAGTATTAATCTAGTCAAAATACTGACAGACCCACCACAAATTCCTTCAGAAGGTTTTTTAGTACCAACTTGAAGATGACCTTTCCTTGTACATCATATTGAAAATCCACCGAAATCCACCGGCGTGTTTCCCCTTGCCACTGGTACAGGACAGGGGGTCTTGGACAACGTATACGCATTTGGATGAGACGTAAAAAAAATCCTTGGCAGTTGGATTAGCGCTGGTCCCGAAAAGAATTTCCCTCATTTATAGGACACAATTTAGTGTATGCCTGTCTTCATTAGCCCAGTCGGACGTTAAACCCCATTTCATTTACCTTTATCTCAAAGAAATATATGTTTTAATGTAATAAACATGAGGAATGGAAAATATTGCTCGCCACCAAGACGAAAATCAACAATATAATTTATATAACATTGACACCCATATCCTTCTCTTGCACTACAACTACAGCAACTACAACCACTACCATCAGCACAACCGACAACAACGCGGCCGCCACCATGCTCCAAGTAAATAAAATAAAATGAATATAATTAATCCACATCTTATCTTAAAAAAAAATATTGTAAAGACTTGCACTACCAGTAGAAATCTCAGTTCTCAGACAATACATCTTCTAAAATCTCCAACTATTCACTTACAACTTGGAAAATGTGCTCTTTCCTGTACTGGACCTTTTCTATGGAATAAACAGTCAAAGCCAATTATTGTCAGTGGGCCATGTAAAACTAAAAAACAGTCGAGGGAGAGAGAGAACTATAATTCGATCGCACATAATGTCGTTAGCTTTGGGAGGAAACCAGTGGAGCAGGAGAAATGCAACGAGGTTAGATGGCGAACCTATTCCTTGTCACGTAAAAGTATGGAATCGAAACCACGCCAATTGACTCAATGACAGAACTTATGATCTAAAGTACACGCGTTAACCAATCGCCCCCCCCCCTCTCCTTACCCAAAGAATAATAAAAGTAAATAACTAGTATTTGTTACACGGTGAATCACGTCAACCGAGAATATTAGCTGACTACTTCGGCATTTGCCGTAACCTAACGTCACGCATTTCTATTTTATATACAATGGAAAGCTATTCAGGGGCGGATCTAGGAATTTTGAAAAGGGGGGGGGGGACGCCGCAAAATGAGGGCACTGACCGCGGAGACGCGGCACGCCGCTGAGATATGGGGGGGGGGGGGCAAGAAAATTATCCGTCATTTCCTGCATCTGTAGCAATTCCAAGAGCTATTTGGCTGATATTTTCGTCTAAGTAAACGTTCGGAAATCGTGGAAAAAAAGTCTTAAAATCGAGCAAAAAAGCCAGTTGAACACGCGACTCGAAAATGATGGGAAAAAAGACCAATCTATTCCCTAGCCACTTCACTATTTAAGCCTTGTAACTTGTACTGTCCACACATGAAACTACATCTAGTTGCACTAATGCGCGTCGGTGATGGGCATGAGTGTATAGTAGTATACGTCTCCGATTCCACAAGATGCTATCATTGATGTCTGTCTATAGTCATTCTATAGGGGACCGTCAGCTAAACAACAAGAATTCGTTTGAAAGTGAAAGCATTAATTAGACCAGACTGGTGTGTTTGAGTCGATGGTTTGAGTCATTTGGGATCCCTGCAACGGTTTGGGAACGGACATATTTTGGGTCTGAGAAAAGGCACTTTCAGCAGTAAAAAAAGGGATCCGCCTCTGCTATTGGAAGACGAATTGCATCGAATTGCTTGTTCCTCTATTTGAAGGCGAGGTTGGATGGTCCAATGGTTAGCGCGTGCGCGCCGTATCAAAAGATCTGTTTTTAAATCAACTGGCGTGGTTTTGAATCCCCAGTTGTACGTGACAAGGAGTGGGGTCGCCTGTCCAACCTCGTGGGTTTTCTCTGGGTCCCCCGGTTCCCTCCTACTATTAAAGACCCCTACGCGCAAGCGAATTATGGAAATAAAATTGAAGGATATGTTAGTCCCGAAATGATCTAGTTTGTGTCGAGTGGACGTTAAACCACATCCCCCCCTCTCTCTCTCCTTTTTTTTAATCTATATTATATACTTGATTTTATTGAGTATCATTTACATTCGCTTTCGCTTTATCGTCTCTGAATTATTAAAATTTAAATATATCTATTGATGTATACTCTTCAAAAAAAAAGTAGGGGATATTCAGAAACAATACAAAACTGCTGAAATGCACTGCTGTTCTTATTAGAGGTAACCAGTGTATGTTAATAACAGGCCAATTGCCTACACATGAACATAAACAGTTCATATGGGCGGCTTATCTGACGGCCCCATTTCACTCGCAAAGATATACACTGTCAAAAGGGAAAATGGACGTTTTTGATTTTTGTCTTGATAATGAGTAATTGCTCCACCAATCCTCAGACATTCAGCAATTCGTCGTGGCATGCTCCTAATCAACCGTCCAATCACGATTTGGGGTAATCTGACCCACCCCTCTTGCAGTGCCACGGCCAATTCTTGCAGTGTTGTCGGTTGACGTCGACGAACACGCCCCCCGATCAAATTAAATGTAACACACTAAAGCAAAGATGCGCTAAACAGTAAATCTTAGGCAAGAACCGATAGGAAAGCAAACAGGGGTAGATAAACCAGCACGCAGCAGTTTTCATCAACTCTTCCTTGAAGTGTCAGATTTGGCAATAAACCCCTCCCACGTGTCTGGCGGTATTGCGTGTCGCACATGCAGCTCAGTGGTTCTGTTACTTAGGGCGATAAGTTCTTCATCTGTGAACATACTCTCAAAGCATGTCAAATGTCCATGACTATTTATCATATCGCAACCTGCATAGGTATTTGCATTTCAGTCAAATTACTTCATTCTGAGAGGAGTTATCGTCGTTTACAGAATAGTGTAGTCTCGATTGTCATTTTTAATTTAAATCTGTTGAAATCAAAACCGCCCGAAATTCTGGAGAGTTGATTATGGGCCTGGTATGTAAATATTTATATAACATTTGAGGTCAAAGGAACGTTTTGCAATATGCAAAATTAGCTCTTAAATAATGCATCTTTAACCAGCATAACATCCTTTATATTCAGTCATTATAAAATCTCAATACGTATCACAACATTTAGCATTTAGCGATAAAATCTGAAAACGTTTCACTGCCTTCGGCATGATTTAATTTTAGCGATAAACGATTAATGTACATGTATATGGATGATAATTTGGCAGTCATTGGACTGTTAACTTAAAAATTTCATTCAACTTTACGTGTCCTTTCAATCGCAAAAATTAACAATTTATATATTTTGTTTGAAAGAAAGACATTTTTACAATATAAAAGATACTGTGTTCGTTTTTTTTAAATGCAAGATGATACTGATTTCTTTGATAAATATCATATAAAATACTAATAGAAACCAAACCTGTGGGAATATTTCATTGTTTGATTGTCTATTGTTGCTATTTTGAAAAGTGAAGTAACTATATATCAACATTGTTATGAATAGTTCTTCAGTTTTTTTTAAAGATAATGATCAATATATGATCAAGCGAAGGTTGTCATCCTAGTTATCATAGTACTTAATTTGTATGCCTTGGACCACCAAAATTTCAATTCACTGACATTTATAGCAGGTCGTACTAACATTAGTGATGAAATAAAGTAAAGCCTCTTTACTCATTTTTCCCTTCCGCCTTAAAAGTCGCAGCCAACACGGGTGCAAACTGAAAGGAACGAGTGGAGAAACATGCTGACACTATAATTTGTTCCGAGATAAGGACAATTAATGGTGGTTGTTTCCTTCAATACAGCGGTAATATTTGAATTAAATAATATAAAATATTGTAAAATAAAAACATACCTTTAGGACAGCATAGAGTGTATGAAAATACATAAATAGCATTTTCTAGAGCAGCTAAAATATATTTTGCTGTTTAGTCGTAAAATATTATGCTAGACGCATTACATAACATTTCAGACTCGTGACATTACGGACCCAACAAAAATATTGTGTCGACGTTTCAGACTTGAGAAGGTGACAGTTCAATCTGATTAAAGCACAGATCCTATTTCGTTTCGTTTTTTTTTATATTTCTATAGTTCAAAATTTCGCTTTACTTGTCTTTACTACACTAGGATCTAGAAGAGTATTTATAAAACCCGAGTTCTGGATGATGTGAGGGATTAGCCAATGAAACGGTCTGTTACGGCGAATTTTTGGGGTGAGGAGCACGGAACGGTGGGTAACCCACTAGAAACATCAACGCTGATTGGTTAATCAAAGGTCTTTTGCCATTGGAACCAAAAGCCACCCGTGTGACCTTTGACGCGACCTTCTACTACAATCGGTAAGGTCTTCATGTTGGGACTGAACTGGAGAATCAATAGAAAGGAAAAGTTATTGTTATTGTGTTAAGTCAAAAAAGATAAGCAATCCTTTTTTATTTGATAAAATAATAATTTTAAAAGCAAATAACTTAGTTGAACATACTCGATAGGTCTATCTCAAATGATGGTAAGTTCTGTCAGTCTGGACTCGAAATCAGTATTTTCTTTTATTAGGCCACCAATTTAATATCAGATAATGCTATAGATGAGCTACATATCTTCTTATATAAAACTCTATCGAAATATATGTCACACCGAGTTTTATAAATTTTACCGGTAATTTTTTTATGAGATTTGTGTCTAGAAAGCATTTGGTATCGCATACTCCTCGCAGTGTTTCGTTTGATTAGAGCTAATCCCACTTATACTCACTGCTGTAAACAAAGCAAATTCTTGTTCTAAATTATGACTGGTCAATAGTCCGATTAACAACCAATAGCTTACTACGTAACAATACCAAATTAGACCAAATATGTTTAGATAACGTTACGTCATGACTCACTATTTTATTATGCCCAATTAACCAGTGCATAGCAGAATATTGCAGAAAAACTAATTGTGTGACAAACAAGGCTATCACCTGTCAACACGATTTTTACTCTGTGGATATAATGTAAACAATATAATGTCCAAAGTTTTAGGGAAGACCCCTGATTAAACGGAGGGCTGTCATGTTGCTGTGCTTTTGGATAGATTTGATTGAACGGAAAGAATAGACACACTTCCTCAAAAGTGCAAGTATCAGAAGCTAATCCAGCAATCGTCAGAGTGGGATTTCTCGGGCCATTGCTTCAGGAATATGCTGGTATCGTAGTTTTATTACATGAATACTGGGTTCACTGAGTGTAATTAACAACTATAAATAGTGTTAAGCCGTGTAAACATTACATTACAGCTAGTGTTTTTAAAATGTAACACCTGTGCAAGGGTAACCCAATTAAAAGAGTTGAACAAATCTGGCGGACATGAATTGCTCTCATTTCAAATTCCAACTGCCAAGAGTTCTTTTGTGTGCACGCAAACGTGTAGGCTACACGGGACCTCGGTTGTTCGTTAGATACCGGGATCGAACCGGAGCACCAGTGCCTTACTCATTGAGCATCCGTGGCATCGTGTATCTTTAACCCTCGTCATAAAAAAGTGAATTACACAATTTAAACCCCTTGTTCCTTATCAGGTCATAGAATGTTTATTGTCATCCACTGGTCCTTTTCAGGCCATAGAATGTCCCTTGGTCCTTCTCAGGTCCCTTGACCCTCCTAAGACCATAGAACGTTTATGGCCATTTAGTAACTGTTTCCGACGAAAGTTAAAGCGTCCTTGGTTTACAAAGAAGCACCGTTAGAAATTAAGGGATGAAAAAATAAAAGGCGGGGATGAGGGACGTATGTATCAGGACTAACACTGCTTATACACCTTTGTAACACACCCTGTGTTACACTGTCTGCTAAACGGCACCAATAAGAATGGGTAGCAATGTCCTTCGTCACGACCGTTAATTATTCGCTTCACGTTATATTTCGAAATGGATTTTAAATTAGACATCTCCTCCATGGACTCAATGTGACGTCAATATCACTACAGGATACATCTCAACTGCAAAGTTTATAACAGATAAGCATAAGAATGAAACATCTATCGGTCTCCTTCAACCCCGCTGTAGCCACAGCGGCTAATCCCCGAAAACGCTATGTACCTCTGTAACCCTGGTATTATTTAATCTGGTGTATTTAGCACTAATTTCTTTCACATTCGTTTAATATCAAATCTTTCTTTAAAAATTCGTAAAAATCATTTGAAATCACCAAAAATCATCCAATTTGTACTGGTGTAAAGTTTAAAGCTGACCATTTAATTTTGATAATGAGTGTCCAATTTACAAGTATTTAATTTCTCGATCACTGTTAAAAAATAAACAACCCAATCGATTATTGATGTACATAATGATTAATTTTTAAACAGTGGTCAGGAAATTTTAATTTTAATTTTAAAAATACTTGTAAATTGGACACTTATTATCAAAATAAACCAGTCAGCTTTTATCTGGACACAAGTACAAATTAGATGATTTTGAGTGATTTTAAATGGTTTTTATGAATTTTTAAACAAAGATTTCATATCAAATGAATATGAAAGAAATTAGTGCTAGATGCACAAGATTAAATCATACCTGGGTTACAGTGCGTATTGTCCCTCTAGGAACGACGAATGGTGTCTGATTAGACCCCTTTCTTCTATTAGTGTTTCACGCCCCCTTACACCGATGGTTATAATAATATCCCAACCCCACTTAGACTCTCGCTTACCTGTCTCTTTTATATCCCTGATTTCTGGAATGAGCGATTTATTTAATTATTCGGTAAGTTAAATTAAGCTAGAAGTATGCATTGTATGCATACCTAATTTGTGACTGACCTACCAAAGTACAAATTTCCTTATACAGTATGTATATAGAGAAACATGCAAATTCGCTGAGATTATTTCCTAATTTGGACAGCTGTATATATTGAAGGCGAAAATTTCAGTTTGAAAAAGAAATGGTGGTTCTTGATAAACGAAAAGGAAATGACAGTAATTACCAGTCTCTGTATTTTGTTACCGGTAGCATTACATTGAGGCCATACTATTGTTACACCTTGCACGAACTTGTTCTTTTGAAAGCCTATTGATTATGACTTTTATTGTTCCATATGTAGGCGTATTGTACGGGGTTTACTAGGTTCCTTTCTTTTTTTTTGAATTAAAAATATCATTGCTGTTGTTTAATTTGTTTTGTATAATTCAGACACATGTAGTTATCTCTACTGTCTGAGCCTTTGCAACATAATTATATGTTTTATAAAACGGGAAAATTTGAAATATGATTTATAAGTTTATAGTTATCTCTACTACCCCTCAGATGTGTATCTGTTGCTCCCATTACACGTAGAGGTTTTTATGTGTCACGATTCATATTGGCGTTGATTCTACAGGTCAAATTTAAATTATGCTAATTATATTTTCTGTTTGGCATTAAATGGCCGCAACAATAACATGAAGATCGAGGCATTTACATACAGAAACCCCGATCCATGAGACAGATGAATAACATCTAATTTTGCTTTGGTTAGGCGGCGTTTCAGAATTAGGTATCTTTGCGATTGAAAAACTGTTCGGTATGATAAGATTGAGATTTCAGTGTTCCACTCTTCACTATTTGTAACATAATTACTTATTTCCATGCAAACTGTGATGATATGTGTTGAAAATTTACTTGCTCAAAGCCCCGAACAGTGTATCAATTGTAACCGTGACAAAGAATTATCACGGCTACAAATATTGCAGCTACCCATTGCTATGCTAAGATTTCTTTTGTAATTTGTTACGCTTAATGTAACTTTGAGGATGAAGTATTTTTAAATTCTCCCATGTTTGCATTCAGGATATTTGTCCAGACAATATTCTATAGCCATACATGTCACAAACATCCATGGCTACGAAACAGTCGCTATCATTTGGATTTTGGGGCGATGTATTAGCAACATCTATGTTATCCCGAGTAAAAAATTTTACATTTAGACATAAATGTTATGTATAAGAGATATCTTAATTAGCAGTCCATTTACTGTCAATTTACTAAAAGTTTACACAGATTGACAGCAGAACGACACTTTTGCTTATGTGATCGCAATAAACCCCAGTTACCATTATAGTAGATATAAAATATGTGTCGTACCATTATCAATTACAATTAATATATGTAATTGAACTGAACATTATTTGTGCAGGATATCTTATAGAAGTTTGTTATTGTTTATTTACCACACTGTTCTTCTAAAATACAGGTTTAAATGAAGCAGGATACAAAGTTTACAACAGCTATGATATTACAAATATAAGTACTAGCATTAAGTCTAGATGTAACTCAAAAATAAAAAGTCGTTCGGTTTCTTTCAATCCACTCAACTCACTCTAGCCAGAGAGTCTAACTGCTGGAAACGTTACTCGTCTCTTTCTAAGAATTCTCATGAGTCTGCCAAGCCCGGTCTAGTTCTGGTCTGTAGTTTATATCGTCTGATATCTCGTATTAATTAAATGATTAAATGAATATGTCCAATGACGAAAAGAATTAGTCAAATATGGATTATTTAAACAACAACTGAAAACTACACTTAATACATTAAATAGTTCGACAACCGGCCTTAACTCCAGGTACATCTGCAATAGATCCTGTTTTAATCATAATTTAAAAAAAGAAAATGTATTTTAAAAAAAAACGAAACACGTAGCCTAAAAGAGAACGCTTTAGGCAAGGCTGTTACCATAAAAAATTTTATTACAAGTTTTGTGTATGTAACCGTAATAAACTGTTCGTCGTTCATATTAGTGGTTCATATTAAATGTCCGGTGACCTCAACTTCACAAAGGGTTAAATATTCTGTGGGTTTTGAAATTCGAATCCACCGGCCAATAGTTGACTTGTCACACTCTATGGTTCTGATTATACAACCAAATTCTCCTGGTATAAACTTACATAAATTATTTGGAGAATCCATGGATGGTGTAGTTTCATAAACCCTGATACTCACGTCTGATAAACGATTTCCAATCACTGAAAGAAATCGTACAACGGTTAACTTTCATTGCTAAAACCACCCTCGACGGTAATTTTACCATTTTTACATATTGGCTATCGGCGAATCCCCCCCACCCCCACCTTGCATAGTTGTAGAATTTACTCTAATATTTCTCGATCATCGTGAAATGATAAAACCCATACAATTGAATACGTTAGGTACTATTTACTTGTTTTGTCTGCAAACACTATACCCTTGATTTAAACTTTGACCTAGACGTCGCACTTACAAGGACACCGTGTATCCTATTTTGTGGGAATAAGTAACTCTGTTGGCAACTGTTGTATTGAAATGTTTTTAAAAACCCTGTTTATAATGAAGTACACGTTATAGTGATAGTTTTGTGGTAGTATATTTATAAGCTACAGCTATATTGTATAGTTTGTATAATTTACCTTGTTTACCATCAACTCAGCTATCGTTATATTGTAGTTTGTACTTTGTTGATCATCAACCCAGCTTCAGTTATATTGTAGTATTTAATAACTTACCTTGTTTATCATCAACTCTATTAGCTATGGTTACACTGGTTATATTATAAAGATCCTGTAAATCTATCTGCCACCAAGGGTTAAAGTCGCCAGCTGCCGAATGTGTACAGGTTTTGTAGGTTAACGGTTTGAGACCGTCGTTAGCTCTAGACGAACGATGAGCAGCTTCCCGAAGTGAACTTTCCGACGTTGGTTTGCCCAGAGCAATATTTGGTCCCCCTTTAAATAGGAAAAAGGCATTATGAGACATAGTGGACAGCATGTATTTTCTAAATGTAATGAGGTTTAATGTCCAACCGTTCTGCACCGACACAGTGAGTATCATATGATTATTTATAAAGCATTTATATGGAAACCGTCACATTCTATGATGGATTTAAATGGATTGAACAGAATCACCATCCAGGCAAATTTAACTTTTAGAGTATACGCTAGAGAATAAAACTCAAAGATCATAGTTTAAGTAAAAGCTAACGCACTTAATGTTTTAGTTTTAGGGAATACACTTGCGTAACTCTTTCTTAACATATATAGTTTGAGCTGAAGGTTTCAGAGAGAGAGAGAGAGAGAGAGGGGGGAGAGAGAGATGGAATTTAATGCCCACACGACACAAACTAGGTCATTTCAGGACTAACATGGTTCAATTTTATTTTAATAATTCGATTGCGCGTATGGGTCTTTAGCAGTGGGAGGAAACAAGAGCACCCGGAGAAAACCGACGAGGTTGGACAGGCGACCCTACTCTTGTCACGTACAACCGCGGAATCGAAACGCGCCAGTTGTTAATGACAGATCTTATGATATAGCGTGAACGCGCTAACCATTTGGCCATCCAACCCCCTACGCACTAATTAGAAAATCCTTTTGTATACTGGTATGCTATAGAATATTACCTTAAACTTGTAAATAATATGACAGTATTATCTTGATTTTTTCTATTTGTCGCACTTTTTACAAGAGTATGAGACAAATTAGGATTTAAAAATAACATCTTGAACTAACGTCCCCAGCAAATCGATTATATTGACAGTTATTCTATTTTATAGATTATTATATCTAAACAATGACTGAACAGAGGAATATTGATTGCGTGGCGTAAATATAGAGTTAGATGTTTTGACAAGAAAGTCAAGTGGCGTGGTTTTAATTCCCCGCTTGTACATGGCAAGGGGTGGGGTCGTATGTCCAACTTCACCGGTTCCCCCCCCCACCGCCATTAGTTTCCTTCCATTGCTAAATGTCTCGGAGAAAATCCACGAGTTTGGAGAGAGAGAGAGAGAGAAATGGGGTTTAACGTCCACTCGACACAAACTAGGTCATTTCGGGACTAACATGGTTTAATTTTATTTCAATAATTCGCTTGTGCGTTGGGGTCTTTAGCAGTGGGAGGAAACCGGAGGACCCGGAGAAAACCCACGAGGTTGGACAGGCGACCCTACTCCTTGTCACGTACAACCGGGGATTCGAAACCACGTCAGTTGACTCAATGACAGGCCGTATGATACAGCACGCACGTGCTAACCATTCGCCCCCCCCCCCCCCACGAGGTTGGAAAGACGACACTACTTGAAGCAAACCTGTGATAGATAGGTGGTTTGAATGTGTTTATTATCATTAAATCCCACAGTCTGTGAGTGCGAAGGCATCTTTAAGTGTATTGAAATATATAATGAAAAAGTCAGTCAACTTATAAAAAGTAAATCATGTACCAACGCTACAATACGTGAATATCAATATTGTTGAAATGGCTTTGTAAGTTCTATATTCGATCTAATATTGATTTCAATTTTTAAATTGCTCCAATGTTGCATCTTCTTGAGACTTAAAAAACCCCAGCACTGTTCACAGGAAACTAACATATTAAAATAGATTTTCTAAGCAATTCAACTACAGTGCGTGTTAATACCTATGTCAATAATCACGTCTGGATTTCATAAAGGATAGCACTTGTTGGTGGGGGTGGGCTGGGGGACAAAACAAAATCAAACATAAACTTAAAATATAACTTAAAATTGAAACTAGACTAAACATGAACAGGCAAATAATACAATTATTAATGGAAAAGACAAATCGACAGTTGATTATGTAAATGGAAGACCCAACAGTTCTTTATTCAGTGTTCTGAATTCTTAGTTCTTAATTTATATTCCTTAATTCTTATTTCTTCATTTGTTGCGTATTTTAAAACATTTCTTCCAATTCATCTAACCTGAACATTACGATGACAGAGAACGCTGGAGGTGAGCCGAAATCAACCTGGCACACAATTAGTCACTATACAATAAGGTGAAATATTAACATGGTTGTAGATTCTATTGATTATAAGAGATTTATTTATTAAAATTGTATATCTTACCAGGAAATAATTTACATGAATATAACTGCTGTCCACCACAATAAGACGTGTCGTTCACTGTAAAATATGAAAATAAACAAAATCAAGAAAGCATTACTACCAATAACGACAATGGTTAATATCGTTTAGGGTAGAGGCACCGACGAACATGTACGTAATACGCATTTACTTAATCTATTAATGCTAACCAAAAGCTTCATGGTGGTGTGTGGTGATTCATTTTCTAAAATCAATGTAGAATAACTTACACATTTTTCCTAGAACTTCTACTTCACAAAGTGTCAAAAATCTCGAATTCTGAATGGAAATTTTCAAAAATCTTCCTGACACCCCTTTGTTACACCTGATGATATTCTTGCCTGTGTTGAAATTCGGAACAGACGCACAACAATTTGGAACAGCTGAGGGATCGTTGGATGGATCGGTTGAGAATAATTCATAGTTGACATCGTGAAGTCTTTCAGCTGTAATGAGGTTTGCATTATAAATGTTGGCAATTGTCTTTTAAATGTCTTAAAAGCCGCTGAAATTCCATTTGCATTGGAGTACAATATCTAATTCTTCATGACCCAACCCAAGCTAAAATGTACGCGATTTGATTATTTGACATGTAATTAAAAAATTAAGATATCAACGATAATCACACGGCTTGGATTCAATCAGATTTACAGTGTGCTATGAGGGAAATTTTACCCGGGCAGCGGCGCAACGGCCTACTCTTATATCGAATTCCAATTGCCAAGGGATCTTTTACGCGCACTCCAATGTGTATATGGGACCTCGGGTTTTCGAACCATCCGAACGACTAGACAGCTGTCATTGTCAGGCACTCCGTCCTGCACCCCTGACAAGGCGAAACCACGCCGGAAAATCTCGATGAACATTCTCGGTCAACACGCGGGAGCCACGTCCATACTAGCAAGCCAGCGTCTTATCCACTTATCCACCGCAGCTCCCCTAAATATATCAGACGTATATTGACGTAAACTGATTGTCTATGTGTTTTTTTTATAACGAGTGAAACAGGGTGTGGAGAAAGCTGTTTGTATCTAGTCATACTTACGATAGTCATCAGCATTATATACCACAACTATCTTGATCATATAAACATATCCTAGATCTACCATAAACCATGGATTGAAGTCGGTGGAGGCGGTTTGATAACAAAATGTAGTCAGATCATAATTTTGTGGCGTGATATCCCCGTCTACTGCCTGGTCACTAGAACGACCATTTACAAGACTACTGCTAAACGTTGGTTTCTGGTGGGCCACGTTGATTCCTTCTGTGAAAATAAAATTAAATTCATGCGGTTTTTTTTGTCAAGTTTCGAGTACAAATATTATTTCATTCTCACTCGACAATCCGAATGTTAAGTCTAGGAATTGTGGTCCAAGAGAGTTAGTTAATTTCAACTTCGATGTAAAATGAAATGAAATGGGGTTTAACGTCCTACTGTTCTGCTCCTATACTGGGCTAATGAAGACGGGCATACGCCATACAGTGTGCTATGATGGAAATTTTGCCGGGCAGCGGCACTATCGCCTACTCTTATATCGAATTCCAACTGCCAAGGGATCTTTTACGTGCATCCCAATGTATACACGGGACCTCGGTTTTTCGTCTCATCCGAAGGACTAGGCAGCTGTCCTTGTCAGGCCCTCCGTCCTGCCTATGTAAAATGGAATGATAAGAATAAAGTAAATGGAAATAAATTAAGGTCATATAGATTGTATAAAACCGAAATAGGCACTGAAAATTATGTGTGTAAAATTAAAAATAATTCACATAGGAAAACACTGTCCATGCTAAGATGTGGATCATTACAATTGAGAATAGAGACTGGTAGGTATAAAAAAAACCCGAAAATGTATCTGAACGTATATTTACTGTGATAGAGGAGAATTTGAGGACGAAGAACACTTTATTTTAAACTGTGATATAAATACTCACCAATTAGATATCACTGAAAAAAACTTTTGTGTTGGATCTCAACACAAGGACTTGTGTTAAATGTAGTCAACACAAGTTTGTGTTCTTTTTAGTGTCTTAACACAAACCTTGTGTGCATTTATAAAATCTTGTGTGTTTTCTTTCTATATTATTTATTACGCCGAATTTTAAGATAACATTTATTATGTTACTTTTCATATTACTATTTTTATTTATTGAGAAAATCTGAATGCGATTGGGAAACTGGCTTGGGGATCTGGCTTAGCCTACATGTAAAACCACTCTTCCTGAATTTTTTTGAATGTCGAAGTATTCACTTGATTTCTTTTTTGTTTTAATATCTCTAATAATCTAAAACCTTATATAAATTATTACAAACATTAAGTAGAAATCGATATGTATGTATAGTAAGATACATTTAATATCTCTTTTAAAACAACGTATTTTATAACAGTATACGGATATAAAGAGATCGAAGTTTTAGTCAATCATTGTCTAATTATTAACTATTTATTTGATTAAACATAATAAAAGATCATTCTGATTCTACTCTTTGTTTATTTTCACATGTTGTCTCAGACAATAGACAGACAGGTTATTACAATGTCTGCATTTGGAAGAGTTTGATTGATATTGCCCCAATAAACTTGACACATCAAAGAGAATGGTCGTGGTATGTGAAATTACAACAATGGTGTTATATCTACGTTGTATAAAATGTTTAAATGGGCGTGGAAATAGCCGAGTTAATCTTTTTATTTAATTTAATTGGTTCTTTAACCGAAATTTGACATTTATTACTTACCTGTAAATGACCAATTAAAATGAATTACTCTAAAAAGGGAAGAAATATTTATTGCAGTATTCTTAAGCAGTGTTATTCCTTCCTGGATTATTATCGATTAATAACATAATCCGATGTTAGAACCACCTCAAAAAGTGATATTTGTTGTGAAAAAGTATGTCCAGAAAAAAAGAATATCAGGTTTATTATTTTTTATTTTCTAATACAATGTATTTATAACGCAAATTTTTCGTTTCGGTTAAACCAAACTATACGCATATTTTAATTGGTCGAAGGACGTGTAGTCGGGCGGACAAACTGAACAAACAGTATATATATTTCGAGGTATTTGAGGTGAGCTAATTCAATATTAAATCATAACCGCATGTGCATAATTGTGTTTCTGTGTGATTAGATATTCAAAAAATCATTCATAGGATACATCTTCGACACTATAGTCAATCCTGAATTGCAATGGTTGTTTTGTGTTATGGGCGCCATTTTGAAAACAGATTTGACCTACATATACTAAAACTGATTGCGTACCATTTTTCAAATTGCAGTAGATTTAGCAACACAATCCAACGATAGTGCAGTCTAATTGCTTTAAAAGAAAATCTGTGTCTGCGATATCACCTCGGTGGAAGCGGACGTAAAATACAACTAACCCATCATCATGTACAAAGACCTACAATAAAATCCAGGGGAATTAGGGAAATCATTCATGTATTTTCTTTATGAAAAGTAGCTACTTCAATTTATAAATGCCTAGTTGTCTTAGGGAAATAATAATTCAGACTTGAAATCAGTTATATTCATGATATGCTGCATTTATTCAAATCATATTTATCTAATTGCATAATAATAAAAAACTTGACTTTTATTATTTTATTTCTTTGGGCCAATAACATGGAACATTGGTAATTGCCTTGTATCACTGCAAACTATAAGGCATCGGGAGCCTTGAGCAGAAATAATAACAAAAGTTAAGACTTTTTAAATACCTATATTAAACTTAATATGTTTAATATGGTTCTCAGATATGTTTCTGTGTACAGACTGTACAAAACACATTTATACACTTGCTGTTAGGTTATTTTGCCCTCAGAGAGGCAGGTGTGTAATCATCAGAAACAGAGGTAAACTTCAAATGACCCTAGATATTTGGGTAATTGCTTGGTGTGGTTCTAGATATAATGCCACCAAACTGGCCATTTGGTTCATTGTGCAACTTGGTGATGCATGGAATTTGAGTTTGAAAGAGGAGTAAGCAATAATACTGCCTGACTACTTCCCCTTGCATTGACATGTAGCCATACATATGAGTCTCAAAATTTACCCCCCCCCCGCCAACAACGACTCAATAAGTTATTTTTATTTTATTATTCTGCCATCTAAATAACTCTGTACCAATGACTGGTATGCCCAGTAAAAACCAAATCGAAACCCAATTTGTTTATAAGTGTATTTATAATCATCACTTTTATATTTTTCAGAGACTTGAACATTCTTGGAGAAGTACATGTATTTAGTAAATCAATACCAAAGAAAGAAAACAAATTCTGAATATAAAGCCATCAAATTCTTTTATAGATCTTATTGTGGAAACCCAAACGTTATTTGTCATCATTACTTTTTATCGCTTTTTTTCTGGTTTTTAATGTCAAATACCAAACTATCTCTAAATATTGTTTCATTATATAGACTGCAGTGCAATCCTTAACATTAAAAAATTGGTATTAAAAATTGAAATATTAAAGAGGAATTATCAATAATTAATAGTAACAGCCGATAATTATAAAAATGTATTATTGTATGATGAAATCAACCTTTATTTTCAAACAATTAGTGAACATTTCGATTGTTGATTCCTCATTTATATGCAATGGTTTTATTCATCAATATTTTCTTTACAAATTTTTAAAATTATCCATTTTAATTGATTTATATGCTATATTTATTTTATCTATCTATGATTATTTCAATTTAGTGCATAATTAATGTATTTAGTGTTTGGTTTGGTTGTTATTAAATTTTGCTATAGTTAAAATGTATGTTTTGGGGGCATGGGATATAGGGATATTGTGTACATATCTATTATATTCTCAGTTCTTTTTAAGGTTAATTGTAAAAAAAATTAAATTGTATAACACAATTTTATCAGTATTGGAATTAACTTTGTTTATTAACCCTCGAGATGTTTGTTTAGTATTGCTTTGGCATTAATTTAATTTTTCATTTCATTTATTGAATAAATATTAATTAACAAACAATTATTTTTATGTTATTTATCCAACATTACAGTTTAAACAGAACAAACGGAGGGGGTTGCATGGAAAAAAGTTGCTATACTGGATATGAATGGTAAAATACAAAACAAGTGTTTGTTGGTGGTTATACACAAGTTTGTATGAATTAACACAAGTTTCAGACATTTCAACATCAGTTCCGGGGGTAGCGACAGCCTCTCCCATAAGTAATAAAGTAAATAGAACACTCCATGATTTTCAGGGCTTTGGTCAGCGATTACAAAAGTAGGACCAAACTAACTATGGATTATGATTTGTATACGTAATTTCCATAAATCCGATATACTAGCGGCTTCAATTTTCTGTTTACTACAATATAATTCAGGTTGGTTGTTGAACACGTATTTATAATAATTGCAATTTAAAAAAAGAGTTAGTGGGCGTCCATTTCTCTAAAAAAAAATAAAAAATACTTTGATGTCAAGTATACTGGTGTTTTTAAAACCATTTGCCTTAAAAACAGTTGTTTCGGTTTCGCTTACACTCGCTGCTACTTTCATTGAAGGGTAATATTACGAAATACTCCAAACAATTGTCATTCAGGAAACGTTAATAGAATATCGGTTTTAGCGAACATATTGGGGGAATATATTTGCATAGGTGGGTGCAAAAATTGTTTCCATGGCCGTTCTCGAAATATCAAATCGAAATGAACTGGCGTGTACGGTCTTACCTATTACCTACTGGGCTAATGATGGGCATACGGCATGCATTGTAGAATGGAATCGGGTTTAGTATCTTATCAAACAATACGTCGGTCATTTTTAGAAAATGAAATGGAGTTTATTGTTCTACTTCTACTTCGGCTGGGCTAATGAAGACGGTCATACACCATACAGTGTGTTAGAGGAAAATTTTGCTCTGACAGCGGCGCTACGACCTACTCTTATATCGAATTCCAACAGCAAAGCCTCCCTGGGATGTATGGGGTTATCAGAATTACTTCGTATGTCCTGCGTGTCGTAAAATGCGACTAAAGGGACCCATGTAATGTGGAAACGTGTCGGTGGTGAGTGTAATCCTGGTGTGTGTGTGTGTGGGGGGGGGGGTAGCCTGTGAACCCCTTTTCTGTAACACATTAATTTCGCCCCTGGTTCACCTAGACGAGAGATCAGAGTGGCCCAGATGAATTGTTTTCCCTTACTGTTTGATGTTTGATTTGTTTAATGCAGTTTAACCTTTTTGCCTTGCAGTATCGTCTTTGAAGCGACGGCTATGGTCAATTGGTTAAAGCCTAAGATTATCTCTTTACTTTGTCTGAGTATATTACTTGGTGATTGGAGAGCAGCCAGTGATGAATTTTAGAAATTGATAAATGGAACTAAACAACTTCGTCCGCCACAGCGCGGACCGACGGATGTAATATTTGATATTTCAGTTAAAACTCGCCGAATTTGTTATAGGTTTCTAGTTCTTGAGAGTACCAATGAAACTTCATTAAGTAAACAATCACCATTCTTAATTGCCAAGGGTCCCACCGGTTTATCAGGTGGACCCAAAAGCGTTAACAAAATGAGGAATGGTTGAATGTGCTAAAAAGCAACATAATTGTGTTAATTAAAATCTACGACTTTAGCGGGCATTCCTGTAAAGGTGACACCACATAACAGTCTAAATTTTTCTACGTCTCAGGAAGAGATTCCCTCCTCACAAGGTGAAACCATGGATAAATATATTTCGATCAAGCGTAATGGAAACATCATCCAAACCAATACCTATATCCTGACATTCAACAAACCAGAATTGTTAAAGCAGGGTTTCTCTCGATTCCAGTTTCCCCTTATATGCCAAACCCATTGTGTTGCTTCCAATGTCAACGCTTTGGACTTAGTAAAATCTATGTAAGGGTAAACCAATTTGTGCACGATATGGCCAAGATGGTCACGAAAGTGAAACTTGTCAACGTGAACATCACTGTGCCAATTGTAAAGGGTCTCATTTTCCGTACTCTGGAGATTGCCCTTTATGGAAAAATGAGAAACAAGTGCAGCAGTTAACAACCGATAAGAAGATTTCTTACCCTGAGGCACGGAAATTGGTTGAGTTTGCCACACCATCGTTTGGCAGCTTCTGGACTGACACAATCGTCTAAACCTCTCATTCTAATGAAACCTAAATCAATTGCTCTCGACACTCAGACTATTCGCCTGTTGAGCCAGAGGCAACAGAGGAGATTGTGCCCGAAACTTCTCCTCCTTCCCTTCAAATGATGGAAGCCACCAACTTCCCCTGCAAAGGGTGGGAAACCACGAAAATACACTAAAGACCGACCGTCAACTTCGAAGGCCGGTTCAAAATTATTATTCGTCCGTATCAGGAAGGTTCAAGATGATCCTGTCCAGACCAATAACAGGTTCGGGAATCAGGGCAATATGAGGTATGTTATTGTAGAGATTCACGACCCCAGTACTAATCAACACCCCAAAGGAGCACTCTTGATCATCTCATTAGATTTGAAACGTTCACCAGGAACGCATTCATCCAGAAACACCACTTAAATTCCATTCCACGATGGGCAACTGATAATGGATTTCGACTTCCGAAATCCAAGACGGTGTGCAGTTTTGTCACAGAAGAGTTTTATATCCTGACCCGGAGCTTACACTGGATGGTAGTCCCATTCCACTTGTACAATAAACGAAGTTCTTAGCCCTCAACATATTGAGAATCTTATCAAACACTGATTAGGGAGCAGACCATAAGGTCTTGCTCATTTAATAATATCTAAACTCAATTATGAGTGTATTGTGTATGGGTCGGCCCGCGAGTCTTATCTCACCATACACAACGAAGACCCTAGAATCAGTTTAGGAGCATTCTGTACGTCTTCAATGCACATGCACAGTTTATACGTCGAGGCACAGGAGCCCTCATTGTTCGTCAGACGTGATAAACTGACACCGCAGTGTGCCAAGAAAATTGCATTTAGACCATTTCATGAACATTTATATAAGCTGAAGCCTAACGTTACAGAACATAAGCTCCATGGTGTTCCAATCTCTCTTTCGAGAGCTACGATCTAAATATGGTGATTATTCTGTGATGTACACAGATGGTTCGAAAGATGGTGATCGGGTAGCTTCGCCTACAGTGACACCATCTGAGACCATATCTGTTGCTCTTCCACCTTCAGCTTCTGTATTTACAGCTGAGCTCCAGGTCATACTTTGGCTTTGGATTTCATTTAATCATAATCAAAATTAAAACATATAATCTGTTCTGATTCTTTGTCCTGTTAACAATCAATAAATAATCAACATCTTGAACATTGGCCTTTGCTGGCTCCTTAGTCTTGTGGATATAAAATGGAACGACCAAGAGATCTTCCCAGATCTCATTTTGTATTACCATGTCATGATTTTAAATCATCGATAAATACATTTATATATGACCGCTGACAGCGGTCTTGTGAAATAACAGGCACAAATAAACTTCGTCATGTCAAGCTTCTTCTTGGAGATTGGGCCAACTCCTAAAAAACAACAGGGGGATGAAGCTGTTTTGTGTCGCTCTCGCATTGGGCATACTTTTTAAACCCACGTATTGCATCTTGAAGCGAGAGCCTCAACCCGAATGTGAACACTGTCATGTCCCTTTGACATTTAAGCACATTTTGGTAGAGTACATAAGATAAAAACATTACCGTTGTCAGTCAATACCACAGTTATTTTCTCAACTGGAACTGTATAATAAAGTGCTAGCATTTTTAAAAACGATAAACGTTTGTTCAAAATTTTAATTGTATATATTTTATCATGTATTACGTATGAAAAGGGTTTGATATATTTTTTTTTATTTATAATCTCTGTGATATTTGTTTTTATTTACATACGTAAATACATTTCTGTGATGTTGTTTTAGTTTGTCTCGATAAATTCACCATATGTTTGGCGCAAAATTCATTCCAACTGCCAAGGGATCTTTTACGTGCCGGCCAATGTGTACACGGGACCCCGGTTTTTCTTCCCATCCGAATGACTATACGTTGTTCCTTGCCAGGCCCTCGCAGGGCTAGAAATTCGTCATTTTTTGCGAGAATCTAAGAGGATTCTCATATATAGCATCTGCGCGAATCCTCCGAATCATAATTAATAATACTGTCTAAAAAACAAGATTGTGTTTATTGTGTTAATCTAAAACATCAAAATACAAGAACAAAGATACACATAGAACAATCATAAATAGTGTCAAAAGTAATATCCAGAAAATGCCTTAGTCAAAATAAGTTGATATGGCACCATAGAGCGATATATCGGTTTTTCGATATAAAACCGTAGCAGAAATAAAAACCGTCAAAAATACCATCTTCAGAACAATATTGAAAAACCGAACATACCGCGATTTTTCTGGATGATATTTAACATAAATATTGAAAAAAAGTCTCCCTAATTATGTAATTTACGATATTTTATTGCTTTATGATAAATAAATAGCAACAAATACTGTTATAAATTCCTGAGTTTTCATTCCACAAAGTTAGCAAATGCCGATAGAGAGCTTTGTTTACGTCACGTGACTTCTCGTTCACTTTTCCACCCGACCAATACCATTAGAATTAACCCTGCTTGTATTCATTGACGAAATGTTTATACAGATGCTTTGATTTTCCAAAGGCATCATTGATTTTCAGATTGAATTAAATTTCAATAAAGCAGTAATATAAATAATGCCAACTGTATTGAGGGTTCCAGTAGGCTGATTATCTTTCACTTTCAGCGTCGAATGTGTCATGGCGGTCCGTGATCCGGAAAAAAAATATTTGACTAAATCAATGGACACTTTTTTGACATAGTACTTATGTTTTATATTATAATTTAGTATTTTTGCATTACATAATGCATTTTCAAGACGGTATGCGCTTGAATGAGAAAAAACGAGATTCCTAGGGTAAATGAATAGCATCCAAGTTGATTGACTTTTTTTTTTTATTAACAAGTAATAATTACCGCGTTTTAATTCAGCCAACGATACCACAGTGATGGATTCATTGGTTTACCAATCGGCTAGATTATATGTCAGTCGTTAAAGCCGACAAAATACAGCCGATACTGACCGACATTCAATAGTCTGACTCGACAATTCTCCGAGATTATTTTTTTTTTTTTTTTTAGAAAAATTTTACGCGAAGCCTTGTAGATTCGCACGGTAAGCTCTTGCGAGAATCCTTGCGCGAATCAGATTCGGAGATTCGCGTGAATTTCTAGCCCTGCCTCGGTCCAGCACGACTGATAAGGAGGAACTTTCTCGGCCAACGCGGTGATCATAATCGGGACCTTCAGGTTAGCTAACCAACGTCTTACTCACTAGACAACTGTGGTTCCCTGGTCATTTTGAGACATAAATGAAATGAAATGAGGTTTAACGTCCTATTGTTCTGCTCATTTTGAGACAAACATATGGACGACACCAATCAGTCTAGCAGTTGCCAATCATTACAAAAGAAGGCGAGGATTGAAAAATGAAAAAACTAAGTTTTTTCGCATCCCACATCAGTATTCGTACCTGGTAATACTTGTCTATTGTTTAGTTCGTGGCAGCTTGACTCAGATTGCTAAGTTGGAAAGTGTGCCCTCACGACGGTGCTACGGCCTATTATATTTTCATTTTCCAACTGCCAGAGAATCTTAAGCATCTTGGCGTCCTTTCTTGCTAGAACCCCCGCCCTGCACCCCTGGCCAGTTCGCCATCTTCCTAGAATCCCCGGCTTGCACTTCTGACAAGTCCGCCACCTTGCTAGAGTCCCCGCCCTAACAAGTCTACACAGGAGTGGAAAGATGGATGAACCTCTCGGCCAACAGAAGAATCAAACCTTTTACCTACCAGTTTTCACAGAAAAAACCTTGGTACCAGTATCATTTATCCAGTTCGCTGTTTCGTTTAAATTTGTGTTGTAAAGATGACATTCTCGTCTGTTTTTGTTGAATGTGAATGAAACACACCAAGTTCTGTCTTTACAATTTTTCCCACAAACTCCTTGCATATCAGTATAAAATAATTGTGTAGATAATGACACGAATTTATCAGCGTTAATTAAATTAAATTTTAGCCAAGCACTGTTTGCGTCGCTGATTAGTTCCTCAGTCAAGGTAGAAATCACGAAAACGTAGAGTAAATACCAGCAATTCTTCTTGAACATGTTAAATACCTTCATTCCTGTTTGATATTCTTCAGTTAACTACATGTAAATGTATCGAGCCCATAACCGTGTCGAGCTATCACAGGTCTTCCAATTGATTTGTGTATAACATTAAAGGGAACAACACATGTGCATGGATTCTACACATTGCCACATATAAACATTTGACAAATGTAGGGTGCCCCGTGGCCGAATCTTTTCCCTTCTAAAAGTTGTACTCGACACGTTGAATGTGCACGCTTCAGTGACGTAACTCTAATTGATTTCAGACGAGTCTCGGGCTCTCTTTGTGTCTATAAATAGCCACAGCACGTGAAATTCTCAACACTTGTAATAACTATTACAGACGTAAAAAATCTATTGTTGACGATTCTGAATAGCAGTAATATTTAGCTTTTCGGTTATTACTGCAGCTTTAGAAATTACGCTCATTTTATTTTTTAAATTGCTTTATTATTAACTGGACCGTTAGGAGTGTCATCTTTTGATTTAGTACAAATAATATCTCTGAATAACGCGGGTTGGGCAGGAAAATGATACTAGCAGTAGTTTCATTTTACTTTTACAAGGTTCTTAAAACAATTGTTGTGTCGCCCACCGGGCGTTATTTGTAAATTCAATTTCTTGTTCTAGCTTTCTGTCATGTTTCGTAAAAAAAATAGTCTTGATTATCCCGGCCTATCAATCAGACGGAGAATGGTCGGTAGACTGGTTAAGTGAGACTAATTTCAAAACAAGGGCACGTAACCTATTTTTTGCTCAAAGGTGTTTGGATGTCATGGACGACACTCCGAACCATTTTTCAGTGTATTATTTATAGATGGTTAAATGGTCATATCTTATTAAGTACAACATGAGCGTTTATTTAGTGACTATAATTGTGCGAAACTGATTTAAAGCTTAGTATATATATAAGTATTGTGGTGTAATTGTCGAGATATTTGGAGATATTTATTTATGGTGGGGCAGCCTACATTTGAACTTAGCCGTGGATTGGGTAGTCTCTATCACCCAGAAAAATATTTTACGAATATTAGCCTGGATGCACTATCAACATTTGAGAATAATAGGTCATTGGCTAGATTATCCGGTCTTTTAAACCATCATAAACAAAGTCTAAGGAAGGCAACTAGTCCTAAAAGATGTCGACACCCATGAAATTAATTTAAGAATGCCATTTCTCAAAAAATCCATTTGATTGCATTGTCATTTCAATATTCAACTCTTTTTGGTAAAATTTCACCCTTCATGGGCCATATCTATGTTTTTTCTTAAATTAACCCCAATTCGTAGTCACGATTTGTTAATATACTTTTGTTTATATACTCTTAAAAAAACGTCTTCATTAGCCCAGTTCGGAGCAGAATAGAAGACAGTTAAACCTCATTTCATTTCATTTCACTTCATTTCATTCGACTTCAAAAAAAGTAGGGGATATTCAGAAACAATACAAAACTGTGGAAATGCACTGCTGTTTTTATTAGAGGTAACCAGTGTATGTTAATAGCAGGCCAATTGCCTACACATGATCATAAACAGTTAATATGGGCGGCTTATCTGACGGTCCCATTTTACTCGCAAAGAGATACAACGTCAAAAGTGAAAATGGACGTTTTTGATTTTTGTCTTAATAATGAGTAATTGCTCCACCAATCCTCAGACATTTAGCAATTCGTCTTGAAATGCTCCTAATCAACCGTCGAATCACGATTTGGGACAATCTGACCCACTCCTCTTGCAGTGCCACTGCCAATTCTTGCAGTGTTGTTGGTTGACGTTGACGTCGACGAACACATCTCCCGATCAAATTAAACGTAACACATTAAAGCAAAGATACGCTAAACAGTAAATCGTATGCAAGAACCGATATGAAAGCAAACATAGATAAACCAGCACGCGGCAGTTTTCATCAACCCTTCCTTGAAGTGTCAAATTTGACAATGAACCCCTCCCACGTGCATAGCATGTCAAATGTCCATGGCTATTTATCATACCGCAACCTGCATAGGTATTTGCATTTCAATATCCCCTACTTTTTTTTGAAGAGTACAATAATGCATGAACGATGTGATTTATTGTGGAAAGGGGCGCAACTCTTCATTGACTTTGCCAACGATACTCAACCACATAAAAACAAACAAACAAACGCCCGGTTACGCATGGGCAATGGAACTTTCCGTCAAAGATTGGCAACTGTCCCTGACCCGTCGTACGTTGAAGATAGGAGGTTCTAGGTGACCGAGACTAGTTGATGTGAGGGATTAGCCAGTGAAACGGTCTGTTACGGCGATTTCTTAGCGTGCGGTGCACGAAATTGTGGGTATCTCACTAGAAACATTAACGCTGATTGGTTAATGAAATGTCTGACGTCATGACCCCTGACTCGACCTCCTACTACAACCGGCCAGATCTTCACGTAATCGAGGCCATCATTTGTCTGGGTTCGTTTGTGGTTCTTTCTTCTCTTTGAAAGGAATGTCGGAATTAGAATGTCACAAACTGTTTAAATGTAACGTGTAACACATTTAGTTCACTTTCCATGAATCTATGCTCGGAAAACCCGTAAGAAAACGGTAAAAAAATGACTCGCTCGGCCACAACCTCGCTCTCACCCCACACCCTTTAAAAATTCCTGTATCCCCCTTATTACTTTCTGCGTTTATTCTCTGGCTCATATTTTATTCTAATTCTCCTCTTAGGACTCATGTTGTGCCTTTATTTTTATTTGCAACTAAGACGGTTTTTTTAACAGGTACAGCAGTGCAACAGACCGTTTCTACATTTTATGTCACAGCAGTTAAACACGTCTACAGTACAATACTTAAAATTTATATGTCTTTTTCTCAACCCCTAACTCACAGATCAAGTTTACTGACGAACCAGCTGCATCGTATGGCTCGCCTACCGGGGCATCCTGAATCCAGATGGTGTCTCTTAAATCCTAGCGGCCTCTCCCAACGAATCCACAGGGTATCCGGACCCTCAAAAATCTACATGATGTCTAAAATTATTCTAGCGTTGATCTTTCTCATATAGGTTCCAAATGGCGTAGGGTAATTAGTAATTTTCCACTCACGTGTATTTCAAACAATACGAACTTATCCTTGACAAATGTAAGTTACCACCATGTTTACTAAACCATAACCCCCTTAACGTATCAAAACAACCAGCATACTTTCTATATTTTTGGTTATGAACTTGGAATCAATAATTTGTAAAAAATAACAATATTGTTTTAGCCATCATATTTCTGCATTCCTTGTCTATGAATTTGAAACCAATAATTTGTCAATGACATAACATGGTCGCATCGGCAATATTGCTGCACATGGTTTCCGGTGTTTTGGGGTTCCGGGAAAATTTCCAGAATTTGACTTACGATAACACATTTATAACCAAAGTATAACAGAATTAACATATTTATACTTATAACCGTGTGTCAGTATCAGTCCAAAGAAACGTCCAAAGGCAAACGAACCTTCTCTGTTACCCGCACCTGGCCAGATTCTGCCATGTAATTTTCGTGCTTTAGGTGGTGGTGGGAATACGTCAACAATACAAAACTTTTGAAACAGAAATCGAAAGTGGTCGATGATTATAATGTCAACTACGTTTTCCCATACAATCTTGCCAGATTCACAAGGCTACATAGCATTTTTTCAAGCACGGATTTCAAATTTTCAAAGCACGGAATATTTTATCCAGTGGCACGTTCATGCCTGTAGGCACGTTAAAATAAGCCCTGGTTGGGTTATTTAATCTGTTATATCACAGGACAATTCTGTTATTGAAACCAACCTGCATGAAAATGGATACATTATAAGTTGAAAGTTCCGCAATAAGGATCGTTTGTTTGTGAATTTAGTGAAATGCTAATGTAATTTTAGCTGAAATTTATTTTTTGGTTGGCTGTGTCCTATTTTGTATCGATATGGAAATTTCTATTTTATGGATATTGTTATTGAAGGTAAGACGCACAAGGAAAATCAGAAATTACGGCGGAACCGATGATCGCAAAATGCTGAAAATCGACAGGGTTCGTCCTGGCATCACCCTAATGCTTCAAGATAAGTCCTCTTGACTGATTTCAAATAAAAGCAAATATTTTAAACCAACCTGTTGACATGCAACTGTGTCCTGACTTAAAACTTAACAAATTATCGATACATATTATAAATCCTATAAATCATGTTTTTCCATTAATTACACTGTAAAATAGTAATACAATTACATGACTGTTTTATGACATTACATATAACTTGGCTTCTGTACAGTTTTTTTTCTTGAAATGGGCAATTCCTACCAGATGGTTGAAGTGGTTAAACAAATGGGTGAGCACAAAAATTGGGCTAGGAAGCTATTTTACAAGAAAGGTGCTCTATTTAATACATTGGAGTGGTTAAAACAAATGATGACAATGAGAACTGGGCTAAGTAGTTATTTTGCAAGATTCGACTTTCTTACACTAACCCACCGAGAATTTCTGCCACCACCAATTTCTGGCAGTGCCCAATCATCACGTGCACAGATTAGTCCAATTAAATAAACAATGCTGATAAAAACGGGTGCTCACATGAAATACTTACCCTAAAATGGTAATAGCCCCACCCTATAGCCGACGTATCTAAACGTTTGATATAAATTAAACAGCACCATCAAATTTACTTTAGGCATCATTTGCGTTCCTAGAGGAACATGTAGCCGACGGGTTACAGACATCATTTAGAGTTCATAGGGATAGACGTCATTGGCATTCCTATAACCTCCTCGGCTTAGAGGTCAGGAATCAGACATCATGGCGTTCCTCGAGGGACGTATACAGGCCGGGTTACAGACATCATGCGGGGTTCTTAGACGAAGGCATACCCACAGCCTCCTCGGCTTAGAGGCTGGGATAGAGACAACATGCAGTGTTCCTAGACGGACATACCTTTAGTCGCCTCGGCTTAGAGACCGAGGGGGATCACCATGTAGATCTAAAAAGAATAGCACAACGCCACAAAACACATGTTAAGGTATAGGGAACTTATATTTAGTATATATTTAATGTCATAGCTGTGTGTGTACTTTCCCACATATAACCTTTGTATTATGGATGTTATCAAGATATAAAAACTTAGTTATACCAACAAAGTGTTCCAGAGCTAATTGGTCATTGAACATGTACAGCTACTATTCCCGCTTTTAATGCAACTGTCATTAGTGAAAGGAAGCAGCGGTGACTCAGTAGGCACTGGCTCTCACTTATCGGGATGTCCAGGGTTTGATCGTGGTCCGGAGAGGTTTACCCTTTTCTGTAGGGCTCAGTGAGTAAGGTCCGAGGTTTGATCCCCATGTTGGCCTAGAACGCTCCAGTGTTGTTTCCCCTTGTCAGTGATACAGGACGGCGGGCAAATACGGTGGTAGACAAACATGGTAGGAGTACATCGAGGACAGTAAGTTAGCCACCTCTGGATGGATATTACTTTAAAGGCGGTGAGCGTACATGTCTGTGTTCAAGATAAAACCATATCGTTCTCAGACATTATGGGAACTATACGGATATTAATGAAGAAATTGGGGATTAGCTTCCTACTTTTCAGCACCCACTCGGCTAATGCCGGGTATTCGCCATGCAGTGTGCTATGAGAGAAATTTTGCCTGGACAGCGTCACTATGGCGTATCTTATTTCGAATTCCAACTTTCAGTGGTTCTTTTACATGCCCGCCAATATTTACACGGGGTCTCGGTTTTTCGTCCCATCCGAACAACTATACGCAGTCCTTGTTGAATATTTTTTTTTTGTTGAATAAAAATATTAAAAAGAAGTAAAGAACACATCCCCGATATGTTAAAAATAGAGACACGTTAATACAAAATAGAGACAACGTGATACAAAATAAAACATGCTTCTTTAAAAGCCTATTTAAATAATAAAACAGCCATGGAATAGGATAAAGGATGGTCCTTAATATAAAAAAAAAACTAATAAGAAAATCTTAAGTGATGTAAAAAAAAATAAATAACCACAACATGATAAAACAGACGGAGTTTAATCTGATATGGATGAACTGTGTAGCTTATCAATAAACACAAGAAATTCAATTATTCACAATTAAAAAAATAAAAACCAAAAAACAAACAAAATAACATAACATTTTGAGAAAGGTAGAAGGGATGGGAATATAATTCTTAGAAAGGGTGGTTTTAACAAATAACAAGGTTGGTTTTGAATGTGACATTTTTTAAAAGCAGATACTAGCTTAGGTAAGATATAAAGGGTGGGCTTTGAATTTTTTAGTTTGGGTTGAGTAGGGTTGGTCTGGAGTGGGGTTGAGATATTTTAGAAGAAATGTTTGACAAACATCAGTAAAGTTGAGATGAACATCGGCCAGACAACCACTCCCAAGGTACATCCATCTGTAATAAGAGAACGTTAGAATTAGACGTAGAAATTCAACTTTCTCACTGACGTCATACATTATAATGTTATTTCATTGTTTTTCAATGACTAATTCTGCTCTATAATTATTTATAGATATTTTTTGACAACTGTTTTATTGACCTCAAATCTGCTAACATTATTGGTAGTATGCTCGAAGCTAGTTGAATTCTTATGTCTCAGAAATTTTGGTATACATTTAACACCAAAATATTAGAAGAGCACAGTCTTGAAATAGCCAGCGTAGCTGAATTATATAGGTTGCTACCGTATTAGTGGGAATGAATGGAAGTGTACAAGAAAGTATTTGACACGATGTATTTTACGACATCGAATTATTGTGGTAAAGACTTGGTATATACTTGCCACACGATGCACCGACTTTTTCTTCAAATGCCTGCTCCCCAACTTTGATAAATTTTTCGTCACATCCATTATTTCGTAGGCATGTCTTGAACGTATCCATTATTCTGTTTATATTAAGAATACTATCACTATCATTATTGTCTTTGATCCATAAACCCAGGGGTTAGTGGAGTAGAACACAAAGATTTAATACCCAGCCTTGGCACTAAAAGTTCCCAATAACATCATATTTTAAGGACAATATTGGTGTCAGTCATTATCACATATGTGATAGAACTGGTTTAACACTTCCATATATAATTTTAACACAGAGATCATTGCTACGATAGATGCGTAATCAAGGTTTCAACAAACGGAAGTGACGAACGCAAAAGGAAAACACCATTCCGGACTATTCGTTTAAATCTGGATATGCTGTCTGACGAAATCTGCTCCATGATTCGATTGAATCTCAGGTCTCCGAGCATGCTCAACGTAGTTCACTTTGGATCGGCCATTCTCGTGTGCTTAATGTGTACAGTCCAATTCGGTTTAAATATATGTATTTAAATTTATTTCAGGTTTTGTTGATATATTAGACCAACGTATTTATATTTTCTGCATACCCATAGATAAATACATGTAGGTCTATTTACATGTAGGTCTATTTATATTGGTATTTTATGTGAGAACATGCCTTTGTAAATTTAAATTTGATGTCCCATTTAAGAAATAATATTCGAAATATGTTTATCCACGAAAGGTTTCATGGAACAAATAGAGTATTAAGTAAGTAATGACAGACTATTTCAATCAATCTGAAAATATGCAATAGCTGATCAAGTTTGAATAAATGAATACAAACTAGAAGATACATAATTAAGAATAAATTTAAATTCAGGATCACGTTCCTTCTTGTATGACAGCATTTACACAATGATTATGCTGATTATTTTAATATGTATAACTTTATATAACTTTATATAGGGGCTGAAAGCGATCGATAACAATAACAAAAACACATCTCATCCTGACCAACGCACCCCGAATATATTTTTAAAAAACAGTCAATATTACCATGTCAACTACGACAGAAATATAGTTTTTCCCAAAGATAAATAAGTTAAAAATTAAGGTAATTAAGATGTATTCACTTTATCAAATAAAGCATATCTCAAATCTTACCCGAAAACACGATCTGTTAGATATTTCACAAATCGATTGATAATAAATAATACATAATCATTGTTTACCAAACACAGATATGTAATTTAGAACGTAATAAACATATATATTCTCAATTGGTCTCCTTGGGACAAAAATAATTTAGAACGTAATAAACATATTCTCAACTGGTCTCCTTGGTACAAAATAAAAAGTTTAGTTTTACGTAGAATATGTTAATGGCAATTAAAGCAGATCTTCAGTAGGATTTTAAAAAAAAATTGCTATCCGAAAATTAACCGATTGGTTTAAAGAAAACAGTTATTAAATAATGAATTGCTAAAATACTCTCAGAAGTGTCGGGACGACGGTCTGTTGATACGTTTGGAGTGACAAAATAAAATGGTTTTTGAAACGAACAGTGAAGAAATTGTATTTTATAACCGCAAAAAAGGGGCATTGAAAGTTTCTTCCGGTTAGGTAGGATCAGCCAGGTCAATTAATTTTTGTAAATGTTCTTTTAAAACTGGAATCGAGTGTTACTTACCTGCGATAGAAAAATAAAATATAGACTTAATAGAAATTTGCCGATTTAAAACATACCTAAGAAACCTGAGTTGTGCTTCCAGTGCCTCTTTCATTTCCCTATCTGAAAGTTGTAAAAGCCCATTTTCCATACCCTCTTTACTTTTCCAATTTCTGTTGTTAGGCGCTCTTTTTTCCTAATCTCACGTTAACCCTTTTCTATTAATTCATTCTTTTCGCCACCCCCCCCCCCCCCCAAAAAAAAACCGCTTGCCTTTTATTTCGATTTCTGCCCGTCTTTGCCTTAATTTAGAAAGTCGATTTTTAGTTATCGTTTGAGCATCCATTAAGACACAATTACGTTTATCGGGTAAAAGAGCTTTGAGCCATTCGCCAGATGTAGTTTTATATAAAATGGATGCTTCGTTGCTAAAAATATTAGAAGGGGGCGCAATCCTCATTAATCTATCGAGATGACTGAACACGGTTTCCGGTAATTGGTTGTGAACATGGATGAGGGTTGAATTAAGATTTAAATCAGAATTAAATTTCGTCAGGTTAGCAAGGACCGAATCCTTTTCGAATGGGTGTGATTTACCTCCAACAAATTTTTGAATATTCGGTTTTTCGAAAAAATCATGTAATTTGTGATAAATAGTTTTCATGTCAAGAGCATTAATGACGTTTTCTAATTTGGACCACAGTGGAGGAGTAATTAATATGGGTCACAGTGGGTAAGATGTTCGATCCCTTCATTGGCCGAGAAAGTTCATCCAGTGATGCAGGACGGAGGGCCTGATAAGGACAGCTGTCTAGTCATTCGGATGAGACGAAAAACCGAGGTCCCGTATACACAATGGCGTGCACGTAAAAGATCCCTTGACAGTTGGAATTCGATTAAGAGTAGGCCGTAGTGCCGCTGTCCGGGCAAAATTTCCCTCATAGCACACTGTATGGCGTATGCCCGTCTTCATTAGCCCAGTTCGGAGCAAAACAGTAGGACGTTAAACCCCGTTTCATTTCAGTAATTAATTTACCTGTCAAGCCCAAAGCCTGGCACTCAATATTAAACATACATTATGCAAGAACTAAATCTGCCAATTGCAGGTTATTTTGGGCCTGAAATGTTATCTAAATTATTAATTAGACATTAATTAACTTATCCAAACCATAATCAACACTCGATGGCATCGCTAGCGTGTGATATTTACTGGATTATGATCCCATTTGCTGATCAACTTCCATTCATAATTTAATCATGAAATGGATGATCGAGACTATGTTTTTTTTATCGTACATACTTTAGTAATGATGATCGAGACTAGGCCGAAATTTCAATCGCTTAATTCTCGGTTCATAGTGGATCAATTTGACTGAAATTTTCAGCAAACTGCCTTTACATTATCTAATTTTAACTATCATAGTGAGAACTGCCAACTCTTTATCTTATCTCCCATAATGTATCTTTAAATAACGGAATTTTAATATCTAAAAATATGTTTTGGGTAAATCGGTTTGACTTGAGATGCAACTTAAAAGGTAAATAACAACCTGATCTTTCGACCCCACCGTGTTTAAATGCTTTACAGATGGTCTAAACCAATAGAACACTGCAGGTTCGTTTGGCAAAAATGAAGAAGCGTTTTTAAACCTTTTGGCCTAATACGTTTTAAAATACATTTCCTCAAATTTCTTCAATTTAGACGCACTTATATCGGCCAGACCAGTAAACAGATGAAGACCGCAAAGGAAATGATTTATATTTAAGTGAATATTTCGCTCTGAATGTGATAAATCTGACTGTCCAGATTTCTAACAAATATTGCCTCTGTACTGTGTAAATAAAGTGTTAAAAAGCTTTCGGTAATTCAAAACAATTTTATGATTTTCTAACTTGTCTTAGACAATTCAATAATGATTTTAGGAACCTTGAAAAATTAAAAGAAAAATACGGGCTGTATTCCTATCTTGCCTAACACGAGTGTTTGGGAGATATGAAATCGCCGAAACTAAACGACAGAACTCTTTCCGAAAATTCCCATTATGCTGCCGGACTATTATAGCAACCGATATATTGTCTTCAAATAGTCCACATTTAGCAACTGATAGCTTGTATTCAAATAGTGCACATAGCAACCGATAGATTCAAATATTGCATATATAGCAACCAATAGATTGTCTGTGCGTAGTGCAGCAAGGTTGAGCAATGTACCGCGATTTTAGCCATGATACGCTACGATCATCTAAAGATCAGACAGGACAAACGAAGTTTACTTAAAGTCGATGTCACACCATATTATTTTTTCTCTACGATGCCAACATTTCGGACACTTTATTAAAAAACATACCCTGCTTCTTGCAAGACACCCGCTATCATTTAGAAGTCTTGTGTTGACAAGTAAAACATTAGAGGCTTAAAGATAGACAATGAAATATGAATATTTACCTGCATGCTTCGGCAAGCGTGAGCCCGGAACTACTGATATCTTTCAGGGGAGAACAGGTCACGGTTACAGTATCTTCGGTGCATTCTGCATCGGTGATGGACTCTTTGTTGATAACTGAAAATTGGAATTAAAGTCGGTTCATGATATATATGTACATTATATCAATCGGGCGGAGTATCCAGGTGGCTTATTTTATACTCGGTGCTCCGTCCGTTCGTGAGCATTTTACACTTTCGCCTCCTTATTCTCGATAATTTCCAAACAAGGTCGGTAATGTCTGGCGGACATGTGTTACTTAATCAGATTTTTTAAATCAACGTCCAATGAATTAGCTCAGTTAATGCTATGGGTCAATTCATGGCACCTTTTAGGGGCTATTTTCTCATAAGCCCTTGAACAGTTATGAATGACAATCATCATAGGTGTGCATGTGTTTACGTCTATTTTCCCATCTTCTGCACTGACCTGATACATGCGGTCCTGTGTCTCAGTCGTCTCATCATAAGGCATACTTGATTTCAGAAAGCGAAACAAATCTGAACATTAATGTTATGGTCTCCGCATTAGGCGATGAGGTCCCTTCCTTTTCCGCAGTAAGTGGGCTGTGGAATTTAAGCGTGGCAGAGAGGGCCCTGTTGATGACCTGGAAGGTAGAAACCCTTACCCGGGTGCATAATGGCGGATAGACGATTGATCGATCGACATATTGCCAATGTTGTCGACATCAGCACATTATTGCTAACGAGTTTAGAATGACAAAGAGTCTCTGCAAGTTATGTGCTAAAGCTTTTGACTGTGGCGGACCAGAAACGGACCTGTGACCCGTCGATGAGATCTAGTTTCAATACTTTCAACCAGAATCCAATCTAACCAATGGAAGTATCCAGAGTCGCCAGGCAAAAGTATGTACACTTCGAATGGGACTATAAGTTGAAACCATCGACTTTCTACATGTCTTTCTCCGATATGCTTAGAACTTTTTTAGCCAGCCCTCGTGTCATTGAGTCAAGTGGCGAGGTTTCGATTCCCGGATTGTACGTGCCAAGGATTATGATCCCGTGTCCATCCTCATCTGTTTACTTCGGGTTCTCAGGTCACCCCCCCCCCCCACGTCTAAAGACCCCTACGTGCAAGCGAATTATTGAAATAATCTTGAACCGTATGTTAGTCCCGAAATGACCTAGTTTATGTCTAGTGGATGTTCAATTTTATTTTTCTCGCTCTACCCCCCCCCCCTTCAACTTTCCACTTTTGTGCACATATTAAAACCAGGACATGTAGAATCAGAATCTAACATTTTCAAAAACGAAATGAAACGTCCCATTGTTCTACACCATCCGGGGTTGGCTGCTTCCCCAAGGCTATCACAAGGCTGCCATTTGGGGTATATGAACAGTTCAGGGTGCCATTAGAGGTTTATGGACAGCTCGAGATGACATTTGGGGTATATGGGCAGCTCAAGTAGACATCTAATATAATATAAAATAAATAATCATTAATTCTGATAACATATTGTGGTACTCTTACATTAGAGGAAAATGGGGTTTACCATCCTCTCGACAAAAGCCAGGTCATTTCGGTACTAACATGTTCTAGCGAAGTGACTCAACAGTTTTAGAAAACATTACACAATGAACATTGCGCAACTGCAACCTTGTACCGATAAATCACACTTAAAAATTTGTTTATGAGATACTTTTGTAATTGGTAGAAACCAATTAGAGAAATAAATTGATATTTTCTTAAATAAAATATCTTTTTTATTTAATAACTACATTACGCGAAGCAAGTTTAATATTTTCATTGGTATCTAGCACAACCAAATGCGGAAATTTTTCAAAAGGGATGATTTCCAAATTCCAAAGTGACCGGTTTATGAAGAATAATGTAAGTGGAATTAATGGGTTTTCGAGAATCTAAATTATGGTGAGACAACCCCCAGCCCCGCTACACACACAGAGAAAAAATCAACAAAAACACCCAAACAACAAAACAACTGATGAAAGAAAAAACCAAAACAAAAAACTTCGCAGATAGCTTGCCAAGCTTGTAAATCATCGCCATGGAAATTAAATTCATTTAAATATACTTCGCTTGGAACCTGGCCTACCAAAACACAAAACTTCGCAGATAGCTTGTCAAGTTTGTAAATCATCGCCATGGAAATTAAATTCATTTAAATATACTTCTCTTCGAAACCTGGCCTACCAGAAACCTTTCTATTTAACTTTAGAAAATCCTTCATATAATTTCCATTATAAAGAGATTGAACACAGAGTAAACTTACCCATCAAAAGTGCTAACACTAGCAAGTAACGCATATTGCCCTTAATCTATGTAAATATTCCCTTTGATCTGGATCTTGCAAGAGCCTGTTTCATATACCTGTAAATATTTGTTTCTGACCCCTATCTTTCAACTACCTGTTTAATATACCTGTAAATATTTCGCAACCTAATAACATACATGTAATTCGATTGAACAAACAAATTGGATTTTTCTATAATGATTGATATTCAATAGGGTTACGCGATATCATCATGATGACTATGCAATATGTGTGTATGTGTGTTTTGAAGCTAGTTAGCGACGCATTGGGCAATACCGTGATACTGCACAAGGGCGAGGGCTGTATCAATATATTACGTAATGTCTTACTCAATGGCTTTAAAAAGCTTAATATACCGACACACTTGCCCGTATTTCTATGATATTGTTGCACGAGTACGGTATTACCAACGCTCCTATATAAATTATTATTAAGATTCACCTGAAAGCGTTTGATCTTTCCCCGTCTCTAGTATATTTTTCGTTATTTCCCAACATATCTTATATCTCAGAATCTAACCATGGAATTTTTCACAAACTTTGACCTACCCCCCCCCCTCCCTCCCCCAAGAATGGGTGGTGGCTGTGGATTAAAAACATTTTCAAAACGTTATACAAATGTGAAATCCCCGGATTGTACGAACGATAAAACTAACAATGCTTAATAGTAACCTATTTTACTAATTTGACAACTTCTTTAATAGTAGACTTAGAATGTAAGTCGATCTGACTGATGCGACTTGAACGATGTCATTAGGACTAAGACTACGAATGTAGTGAGAGTTATAAATAGACAATTTTTCCCATAATTTTTTTTTTCTCCCCGCTCCCTGCATTTTTTCGTTGACTTTTTGGTCAAGAATTGGAGAAAGGTGATCAAATTTGCAATTCCATAGCAGTTTTAGGTAATACTGATGATATTACAGCGGAGGGCTAGGGGGTGTAAAGTGTCTTTCTGCAGAGCAATCATTCAATCGGAAAAGAGATTTTCACCCCAGTCAACACCAAATCCCCGTAGCAAAAAATCAAAACGGTTAACCCCCTACAAAATCATGAGGAGATTGCCAAATGTAGTCCCAATTGTGCCTATAAAAATTGGAACCAACGGAATGTTGAACAAAAAGCTACAGCCTGTGATGTTACAGCCATTTAACATTGAAGTCAATGGGCAAACAATTTATAGTCTGAGCCATTAGAAATTGTCTAACTTATATCCCCTTGGAGAAATTAAGGATCAAAGTTTTAAAAAAAAACAGCCCAGAAGTGCCACCATCTTGAAACGGGGAAAATCCCTAAGATTTTTACATTATTTTACTTACAGACACGAGACGCTGGCTCGCTAACCAAGAAAATTCATCGGGTGTTCCCCTTGTCAGTGGTGCAGGACGAAGGGCCTGACAAGGACAATTGTCTAGTCGTTCGAATGGGACGCAAAAACGAGGTCCCGTGTACACATTGGTGTGCGTGTAAAAAAGAACCCTTGATAGTTGGAATATGAAATAAGAGTAGGATGAAGTGCCGCTGTCCGGGCAAAATGTCACTCATAGCACACTGTGGGGCGAATGCCCGTCTTCACAAGCCTAGTCAGAGCAGAACAGTAGAACGTGTAGACCACTAGACTACCAAACCCATGCAAGAATAACAGCCCCTCCTTCGGAATTTGAGTAGGGTAATGTAGGGTAGTATGACGTTTACATCCTACTTAGTGTGACCCCCTGCGTGTATTTATAAACCAAGGCATTGAATTGTACACGTTCCCCTGTTTATGCAAACACACTCGTATTCAAACGAGCAATAATACTGTATTAAAATCTTAACTACTAGGCCTACTGCTAAGCAAATGTTATGGCAGGTGAGGGAGTGAGAGAGAGAGAGAGAAGTGGGGTTTAACGTCCACTCGACACAAACTAGGTCATTTCAATAATTCACTTGCGCGTATGGTTATTTAGCTGTGGGAAGAAACCAGAGGACCCGGAGAAAACCCATGAGGTAGGGCAGGCGACCCTACTCCTTGTCACGTACAACCGGGGAATCGAAACCTCACCAGTTGACTCTATGACAGACCTTATGATAAAGCGCGCACGTGCTAACCATGCGGTCATACCCCCCCCCCCCCGGTGAGGATGTGATTGTAATAGGTAGCCACGCAAAACATGGACGTCCCTCGAATGCTGTCCAATCCAAATGCCTCACACCAAATTTGAAAATCAATAGGGTTAATATTCAAGTTGAAATAGGGGTCATGATGCCAAGTTTGAAAATATTCCGTTAAAATTGTAGCCTCCATAGCGTTTACAGTGTTTTGGGGAAAATGAGGACTAACTGCTGAACAGCAAAATGCTGAAATACAGGGATCGTCTGGACACCACCCTTATGCTTCAAGAGAAGTTATCTTGACTGATGTCAAATGAAAGCAAATATTTTAAACGAACCTGTTGACATGGAACTGTATCTTGACTTAACAAGTTATCTATATATATTATAAAACCTATAAATCATGTTTTTCCATTAATTTCTCTGCAAAATAGCAATGCAATTACAAGTACTTAAACATGCATTATGCAAGAGCTAAATTGGCCTATTACAGGTCTCTTGTTTTAGGCCTGAAATTTCATCCAAATTATTAATTAGACATTAATTAACTTATCTAGACCATAATTAACTCTCGATGTCAACGCTAGCCTGCGATATTTACTGGATTAGGACCCCTTTTGCTGCTCAACTTTCATTCATAATCGAGAATATGATTTTTTTTATCCTACCGACTTTAGGCCGAAAATTCAATCGCTGAAATCTCGGTTCAGAGTGAATCAATTTGACTGAAATTAACTATTATAGTGCCGGTTCTTTATCTAATCTCCCAAAATGTATCTTTAATTTTTTTATGACATTACATATGACCCAGCTTCTGTACAGTTTTGTTTCTTGAAATGAACACATCCAACCATATGCTTTGGGAGTTCTAGGATTTAGAATATCGACAAAAAACAATTTAATTGCAGCTTCTCGGAACCTCGGAACGCACAAATGGTCTCTTTAAGACAAAATTCTAATGAACATGCGACTGAATTACTCAATAGTTGAGCTGCAAACTTAGCATTCATTTCCATTCCTACCATTCTACGAGGGCTGGCTGAAAAGTTCTAAGTCTATCTGTGAATGACCTGTACAAAGTCGATGCTTTACATTTGTTTTTCTACATAGCCTCTTCCGAGTTATACACGCTTTTTCTAACGATGTTACAAGGCCTGGATGTCGGTCAGGAAGGACTTTTCTTCAGCCACCCTACAAAAGTCGTTGAAAGCCGACATGACGTCATCATTATTAGGAAAATGACGACAGGCCTTTTTTTTTATCACTTTTGGAAAGAGTTCGCATCCATGGGTACAAATCTGGCCAAAACATAAGGATCTGCTTCATAGCGGCCCAGACTGTCAAGGGACGTCAGGAATCTGTCGCGTTTCTGAGCCGCACTCAAGAGCTTTGCCACCCGCCATCTTGCAGAAGCTTTTGTCATTCCCAACTCGTTAGCGATAATGTGCTCAACCTTCTCATGAGAGATGCCCACAACACTGGAAAATGTCGAGTGGTCAATCATCGATCAGCCATCACCATGTCATGCAAGCGGCTTATGTTTTCCTGAATGACTGCGGTTGCCGTAGGTTCACAAGATGGTCTTGTACGATGACAATAATAACACTACAGTTGCAGTTCTTACGTCTGCGATTCAATGATCATTCTTGTTGGTGACAAAAGTTTGTTTCTACCCAATTACTCTATCCGTTTCAGGCTTAGAACTTTTCACACAGCCCCCGTATATGCGCTGATCGTAACTTATTACCAATCTTTAATCCTCCATTCTCTTGTAATTTATGGAGAGCTTCAATATAGTTCAAGCATAACGATCTGGATAGCTCCATCAAACCAAGGAACCCGCATCGGCTAAAGGTATTTCGAACTAATTTTAACATGTGACACGGATATAGGAAACCAGGCATTATTTTGAGTCGAAGGATGAAGAAACTTGGTTTTAAATGCTCCAGATAGCATCCAAGATGTTTGATAATAGCAAGATCCCAAGCAGCGCCATCAAATAACTAATTGCTTCTTTTTCTTATATCAGTGTTTAACTTCCGCTTCCACCGTTGGTGATATAGCAGACAATTTGTCTCGTGTTTTTAAATTATGCTTAGTGCACGCGCAGGTGTCGTTCCTGTGGGAGGAAACCAGAATACCCGTAGTAAACACAGGAGATTGAGAAGACGCCCCTAGCCACATACCTTCACACCATGGATCGAAACAACGACCGAAAGCCATGCACATTAATGATTCTTTAGCTATTGGTCAACTGTCGTCATCTAACCCTGTATCCATATCAATATAAACATGATATTTTTGACTATCCCATTCCACGTGTTGTCTTAATGCGATTTCAGCCACCAAAAAATAACATATCATATGTATGTTTCCAATACTTAGTGTATTTTTTATTTTAATGTCGAAGAAGTAAACCCATGTTGACTATCAACAGACTAATACCATTTGGCAATAGTTCTTGGAAGGCATGTAACATAGATTCACGGACATATCGGTAAGCCTGGGGAGAATAGTAATTCAAAGTTAAACTTTTCTTGATTGTGGAGAATATGAAACGGATACAAGTTTATCAGGGTTTTTTGGGGGTAGAAATTTGTCACTTAAACTATTAGTAGTTAACAGATCATTGCTCCTTTATTTGTTGGGGGAGGGGGCGAATGATTTAAAGCGTGTGCGTTAGGTCATAAGGTCTGTCATTGACTGGAGTGCCGTGGTTTCGACTTTGAAAATTGAACTGTATGTTAGTCCCGAAATTACCTTGTTTGTGCCGAGTGGACGTTAAACCCCATTTCTCTCTCATCTCCTTATTTCTGTAAGTTAGCGTTTTCTTTCAGCCTGTTACTGCTATTTGCTTCAAATACGAAGGTAAATTCATAAACTCTGGGTATCACAGCATCTCTCAATCATATTCGGTCACTATCTTCTGAAATTCAATTGCTACAGCTACACTGTTGTCAGCTCTAGGAATGTTAAGCTTATCTGGTGCTTGATTATTATAAATTTATAATTATATTTACCCGTCAACACGTGGCATATTAAATTCTGCCCTGGTGAAGGACAGCAATATAACATATGCGATAAAGGTCAATGATATACTCATAAAATTTCCATTATTAATCAATTACCCCCCCCCCCCCGCCCATACCGTTAAAATTTAATTCGGTTCTCCCAAACTCCTTATAATCTTCGTAATAGCCGATAAGGATAAAACTATACCCAGTTAAAATTTGATTCGTTTTGTTTCCAAACTCCTTATATATTATCTTCGTTACAGCAATAATTTTAACTGATTACTTTTGTCGAACAGCGTTATTTTCAAAATCCTTTATCCCTTCTACGAAAAAAAAGAGTGGAATAGCCGTGATCTAAGTATTAAAAAATCGACCTCTATAAGAAAATTTAAAACCAAAATTTTAATAACTGATAAGGATAAAACTATACCTCATTATTTCAAATTTGACAAACACAAAAATTAAATATCACATAGTCGTCTTCGTCATTCTTGCAGCGACCTAAATGGGCATTCGGATTGTGTTCATTTCTTCGAAGATACAGTTCATTTTATTTTACATTGCTCCTTACATTCTGATGCACGCAAAATATCTATAGGTTTTTTAGCACCCATTTTTTTCAATACACATAATCTATTATACGGTGTTTGCAACAGTCATACTTCAATAAACATTATAATCAAATATCTGACAGGAGCAACTGCGTAGCCAATGTGTATATACAAATGTTGTTGATTTTAATCAAAGTATTCATTGTATTATTTTGTTGTTTATTCATATAATTCCTTCATATAGTATCCATATTCATTCTTGTATTTTGAAGAGAGGTCATTTAGGTCATTACTGTTCCTCAATCGTTTTCAATTTCTGAATACAATATTGCTTAAAAAAAAAATAAATTCAACTTTCCAGAATAAAGTTAAGTGTGGAGTCATATTATCAGAAAAGATGTACTTGGTATTTATTGCACAAATGAAAACATAAAAACCTTACTTTAAAAAAGTAAACAAGTGCCATATTGCTAGAAATAATTAACGGGTGAAACTCCATTGATTTATATTTTTTGTCCATAATGTTTGAAATATTTATTTAGTGGAAGGATATAGTGTACTTAAAAAGTGCGCAAAGGCCATATTGCTAGAAATAATTAACGGGTGAAAATCCATTAATTTATACTTTTTGTCCATAATGTTTGAAATATTTATTTAGTGGAAGGATAAAGTGTACTTTACTCCTAAAACATTATAAGATAAAATTACGCCTTGGATGACTTGACTGGAATGGAGTGATACGAAAGTATGGTGATAAGAGTGCATACATGAGAAACACAGACAAGTTAAGGTCAGACATGAAGAATGCAGTGATTCGTCTCGACCCAAGTTGGCATTTAAAGAAGGGGAAGTCTAGTTGACACCGGAGTGTCGCCCTTATTGTTAATTGTTTGACGTTCTCATTCATGACATAAACTGTCAGAATATCGATACTCAGAACACGACCACCATCGCATTGTTTCCTGGACATCAATAAACAAATTATTAATTTTGAGTAAAGTCTGTATTATTACAGGCCCGGGACTACAGCGCAGTGCACGGTTACAGCTGCGGGGGGGGGGGGGGGTGGCCGAATGGTTAGCACGTGCGCGCTGTATCATAAGGCCTGTCATTGAGTCAACTTGCGTGGTTTCCAATCCCCGGTTGTACGTGACAAGGAGTAGGGTCGCCCGTCCAACCTCGTGGGTTTTCTCCGGGTTCTCCGTTTTCTTCCACTGCTAAAGACCCCTACGCGAAAGCGAATAATTGAAATAAAATTAAACCATATGTTAGTCCCGAAATGTCCTAGTTTATGTCGAGTGGACGTTAAACCCCATCTCTCTCACTCTCTCTCTCTCGGTTACAGCTAGCCCAGGAACCCTTCATATTTGTTTTGCGAATAGTACGTCCACACGTTACTATTAAAGATGGGTTCCCGCGAACAAACTGGGTGATTTAATGGTATATATGGACTAAAAACATATTCAAACTAATTAATTTGTCATAATTATGCTTCAAATCCTTCTCAAACATTGTAATTGCGAAGGAATGCCCTGCTATTAAAATTCGATCAAACCAGGTCATGTTTACGCCACGTCTTGTAAATCAGAGGAGAATTCATTGCATACATAAGGCGATGTTGTCTTTAATCGCTTACTATTTATTACAAATATCGAATCCTAATTAAATTCTCGGATTATCCACTACCCGCGTCTTTTTCTGTCATTTTTATCTCAGAAGGTATTGTACGTCTAACTCTTCATAAAGTTTATCAACTTGCACATCAAGCGCTCAATGTTCGCGTGTGACCTTTGACATTACGCGTGCAGAAATTCTTAATCGTCGGGCTGTTGATTAGGGGAACCCTTACATTTTTGTCCTGTATACGCTCCATGAGTGTTTTTCGGGGAATCCAGTATTTTTCTAGTAAGATTGAATATCTCTACTTTCCGTATATACCAAAATTACCATACGTTTATTGGAAATAACCACCCGATAAATACTTTTCTGGGAACCCATCTTTAATGGAACAGTCATATTTTTAACTGTCTCCGATGACAAAAGTTGGTTTACCCTTTGTAAATCACGCCAAGAGGTTTTTCTTTGGTTACTATGAGTGAATACATCTCAATTAATTATGAATAAATTTATAATATAATACCACAATGCACCTAGCATTTTATCCTTTACATAATGTACAGTTTGTAGAAGAAGTCCCATTTCATCTGGGCACTGCAAAATAAATATTAATCAAATTGAAATTTAATCGATCTATGTTTCTTGCCGCCATTAAATTGTTGTTGTCCACGTAAAGTAATGATAGGTTTGTTTTATATGCGATTAAATCCAACCCGTGTCAGGGTTATAGATTTGGCGCATGAGGATTGCAAGTCAAAGAGCGCGTCCCAATGTTCACCAGATCACAGGGCCTACGATAACGGCATGGAGCCGTCTAAGAGCCATCCACGCAGGTTATCACATGCTATTCACTTATATCTGCGGTCCCCCTTTAAATAATCAGACAGTAAATCCCACAAAGTGAGAATTACAGATCAAAATATTAGGAAATGATCACAATAATTTGTAAATAGGGCTACACATTTAAGGGATTTAAGGAATTTCATTCTTTAAATGTGACTTGATAATCGGGTATACTTATCACTGGGACGTTGACAAGTGCATAGCTATCCAGACACCTAAACATCTGCAATGAAGGTTTGTGACAAGGATATACATGTTTAAAGTGTCTTCTCCGCGATAAACCAGCTTAACTCACCGAGAGATTTAGATAGTTGCACTTGGATAGTATACGTTCATTTCATTGTAGCTCGTTGCAAATGGTCGAATTATTAAAATATTTTAGTTTAAAGGCTCGAAACGCCATTTAGCTCCATATGAATCCCTTGAAAACTTTACTGTTATGAACATTTATCTCCAATATGAATATCAGTCCAAAAGTGGTTCACTTCCATCCCGTATTTACAAAGATATGATGAATTGAAATTTCATCGGACAACGCTACTCGAGCCTAACGAGACGCCGCCATGTTTTGTTGGTAGCGGATAAACCTGATGGGCCTCGTTTAAATCCAAGAATATCTATAGCGTATTTATTTTGGTTATGTTTCTTTAATCAAATGTTAAATAATCAATCTCAGTATATGAAGGAAGGTGAATAAAGCCCGCAATTAATTTACGAAAATATATATGGCCTGGGATTCTTCCTTTAAATTTATTATTTTCTAATCCGTCGTCTGATTGGCGGAACTGTAGCAGAGCCACGGCATGTAACATATAGTTTGATTCTCTATAATAGATATTTCAAACATTCTAAAACTTCACAGGACACTGGATACAAATAATGTATGTTATATTATTGGTAATCTTTACATCAGGTGAGATAGCCTAGTTTGTTTTGTTTTGAATAATTTAGACAAGTAAAAATCTATAGTAAACTTTTATAGTCGCGGAAGATATATTCACTGCTTGCGGAAAACATGTAACAAAGACAATTATAACGCGACAGTGTGAAATTTAGAATATTATAAAGTCATGAAAAATTAAATGCTGTCCGAAAAATTCAGAATAGAGATCATATAGTACCTAACTTTTGCCAATCGGCATCCCTTGATAGATTCTAGTAATTTGTGACGTATTGTATTTTATACTCACGATAGCATGCATATTGAAAGGTTAACCTAGAAAGTATCAGGAGTTTAATTACCTCACTGATCACTCCACACACATATTCAACCATCTTACAGACATAAGAAATACATAGAAAGTAGGCCAGTTTACTTTACGGATTTAAATGAAGAGGGACCCAAGACCAGGGGTGGACGACGTCCGGCGCATGCACCAAACGCGGCGCATAGCTTTAATGACGTGGAGGCGGCATGACGTCATTTTGGTGAAGCCATCGACCCCATTATTGGTTAACCCAAAACAGCGTCTTTCTAATTCTGCTGCTCCGGGTAGACGTCTAATGTGATTAAAAGCTGGCCAACCAATTATGGTTCACGGGAAATGAAGATAGCGACTGCCTTGTTACATAAGGCGTCGCCTACCTAACCTCGTCGTGACCTCCGGTTTTCTCCTACAGGTAAAAGATCCCTATTCTCACGCGATTTGTTGAACTAATGACGTACCATATTACTTAAATATCCAGGACGATAATTCCCATTTCTTTCTATCTGTTAAAGGTGTTGTTGGAGTCGTAATAGATACACCAGCAGAAAAATTATACCAAGTACATTGGCAGGTTTCAGACAGAGACAATTTTAAATTTAAAGCCAATGCCCAGAAAGATGTCATCTTGTTAATGGACGATTATACAGATTTTAATGTCTATGAAATTCTTTTTGGGGGAAATGAAAATACGTATTCTTGTATCCGTATGTGTAAAGATTGTCTTTGCTATGACCGTTCCTTTGTCTGGCACAGTACACTGGCTATTGGTCTGCAAAAATGCTTCTGGATTTTGTGGAATTTGACCTCTTTGTCATATGGAACTGGTTTAAACATTGGAGAAAACGCAATTTATAGATATGTCAATTCAAGTAAAATATTAAGGACCAAACGCATCTTTATCAGCACTTGGTTTGGCAGTAGGGGTATATGGGAAATACGTAAGTATAATCATTTCTAAAAAAAAAGCGATATAAGATATTTATGATGGCACATTCTCCGATAAAAAGATAATGCTATTGTTAGGAAAGAAAGTTCCTCGGTACGATTTATTGCTTCACCACTGTTGAGGGCTGGTTCGATTACTCCTTCTACATGTGATACCATTTGGCATTAACGCTTAAATCATCATGTTGTGACCAATATGTCTCTTGGTGAAAGTCTTATAAAAAATACATCAAACTGGTTGACAGTAATTTGTCGCGTGGTCGCTACTATGACTGAGAAGGAAATGAATTAGGGTTTATCGTTCTACTTTCCCACACCATCTGGGCCCATAAAGACGGAAATATATCATGCATTGTATTTGTGGTTTAACGTGCATGCCAACTTGTACACAGTTTCCGGGCCATCCCATCCACATCACTGGTAATTTTTTGACAAACACCGGGATCGAACACGAGACCTCCTGGTTATTGAGCTAGCGTTTGGATGACACAAATGGGGTGAAATAAAGTTAATCAGACATCACTATTAACTTTGTGATCGCTACCTAAAATTATGAAATATGTACCATTTTAAAGGCTCAATACCACTCTTGTTGTAACTGAATAATATGTTCCAATCTTTATTCTGTCAACAATTGTACTATTTTACAATATTCCAATTAATTGATGATACAAATTTCATCTTAACACACCTAATTTAAAAAATTGGAAAAATTCAACTAAATGGTTTGAAAAGCCTGACGTAAAGCTTTTCAAATGTGACTTGAATTTAAAAATATTTTTGAACCCTCTGGACAAGTAAAATAGGATTTAATGGATAATTTACACAACAGGTAAGACACTAACACATCTAGTACTTAGAATAAGGCTATTTTTTATTTTCTGGAGCTGTCAAGCCAGCAAGAGTGTTATTGTCCCTTTAAAGTAGATTTGAAGCAAACATGTACCGTATTTACTGCACAAGGCAACACAAAGTAGTAATCGTAAACATAAAGTGAGGAAATTTGACAATTCATAACCTGCATTTGTTGCCAATAAAACTGGACATAGTTGTATTTTGCAAATCGTTGGGTTTAAAAACCTTTTAACTTAGCTTATACCCCCGTCAAACCGGGGTGGAGTCGTTACTGCGACGCTACGGCGACGGAAAATGATTGCAGAGCGCGTCAAGATCGCCATAAGCGCGGTAAACGCGTGGTGGAAACGCCAGATATCGTGCTGTGGTCTCCATGGTCGTGAATGATCGCCTAGTCAACGCGCTTGTTTTAAGCATGTTCAAAACAAACGCCAAGGCTTTGCGATCTAACCTTGAAAGTTGTAATGCCCAGTCAGACCGGGGTGGCGTCCTTACTGCGCTGCAGCGACCGTACAGCGACCAGAAAATGCACAAGGTCGCCGGCAAACGTGAACACAACATGCGAAAATGTCCCAAAATATTACAAACTTGAAAAAAAATATTGCGTTTTCACATCTTTCAAGGGCAGATCGCAGAACCTTGGTGTTTGTTTTGAACATGCTCAAAACAAACGCCGTGACTCGGCGATCTTTTGCGACCATCGAGACCACAGCGTGATATCTGGCGTTTCCACCACGCTTTTACCACGCTTATGGCGATCTTGACGCGCTCTTGGGCCATTTTCCGTCGCCGTAGCAGCGTAGTAAAGGCGCCACCCCGGTCTGACGGGGTAAAGAACGAGACTTTTATCAAATTTGTAAATTTTTTGGGACAATTTCTCGCGTTGTGGTTTCGTTTGCCGGCGACCTTGTGCATTTTCTAGTCGCTGTACGGTCGCAGCAGCGCAGTAAGGACGCCACCCCGGTCTGACGGGGGCATTAGAGGCTACTATAAAGTGATAAACTCACATGTCACCTCGAGGTCTCGTTTTCTTTCTTTCTGGATTTTGAGGAACATTCTTGGATAAACATGTTACTTTTGGATATAATTTCAGCTGATTACTTGACATTTGTTACCAAGTCAAATCTACAGAATATAACCATCTATTGGGATGTGGCTGGTGTTTCATCGGCCCTATGTTCAATAGAAGCGTGTGCACGTGTTGATATTATCTTCACCACCAGTTTGGCTAATGTATATTATAAAGTTGCTTTAGGGGACTGTTCTAACCAATGCACAACTATCCAGAAAGTCATATCCAACAATGTGTCAACTGTCAAAGCCAACTTGAATCCTCTAGAATGTTCCCGTTATGGAGATGTATGGATAAGCTGGGAGACTAAGAGACTGGTAGTTGGAACTGGACGAGTTCTTCACCAAGATGTCTTTATTTCTATGGACAATATCCAGAATGATGCTATTGTCGAACGGATGCAGATACAAAGCTCATTATCGGCTAAGTGGAAAATAGGTCAGTTTTTAGCAAGCTTCGCTTGGCTCTATTGTTCATTTTGGCCAATGTAAGAACAATATCGAAAATCCGAATTAGTCTCAAGCAAACTATCCCATTGTTTAAACCCACGAAACAGTTTAAAGATGCCTTGCCAAGTACAAACTAGGTGATTTGGTCTAAAGACATATTTAAACTACTTTGTCAAAAGTTTGGTTCAAATCACTCTCAAAACATTCTAATCGCAAATAACTACCCAAGTCGTGAAATAATCTTAAACAGCCTTGTTCGTCAGGTGTCCAAATGAAATGAAATGGGGTTTAACGTCCTAGTGTTCTGCCCCTAACCTGGGCTAATGAAGACGGACATACGCCATACAGTGTGCTATGAGGGAAATTTTGCCCGGGCAGCGGCACTATCGCCTACTCTTATATCGAATTCCAATTGCCGAGGGATCTTTTACGTGCATTCCAATGTATACACGGAATGCACGTAAAAGATCCAATTTAGATTATATTTGTCGTTACTCGTAGGCCACTGTCCTACTTTTATTGGAAATATCTAACCTATAAATACTTTCTGCGCTGAAATGCATATTTAAACGCGATTCAGGCCTTCGTCGTGCTAAATGTAACACAAGTCCGTGTTACTAATATACATGATCCTGCAATGTTCATATCAACTCAGCGGTTGGGACCTTTTGAAAACTACTGTTGAGTGGATATTAACATTTCACTAAACGATAATGTTCAGTTTCCAGTCCAATCAAACATCTCAGTACACCAATTTCCTTGTTGGCCTGACAGATAAGAGCATATAGCTTGACCAATTCCCGAAGGTTCTCGATTCATGAAAGGATACGAAACAAGGACGTTCTAATCGAGGGACCGGTGTCACTACCCCACTAACAGTATTGTAGTACCGGTATCCTCCCGTAGTCTCACGCGCTTGCTTTCGATCATGTGTTCAAATGGCGCGGTTTCGCCCCCCCCCCCCCCCAGCGGTTTTCTCCGTCACCCCCACCTGCTAACGACTCCTATACACAAGCTATTTAATGGCATTGTATCATTTGATTCCGTAAAGATACTAGATAGTGTTCAGAGGACGTTGCTCACCCATTCTTTATCATGTGTGTGTGTTGTGCTTTCGTTCCAGACGTATACGGTTGTGAATTCGACAGTTGGCAGGCCTGGAAGAATGAAGTTACTTCCAATCGTTTCAAAACCAGAAGACGCATCTGTCACTGTAAACGCCCGTCTTCTCATCCTACATCATTTGATGGCGACTTCCACTGTGATGGGGAATCGGAAGATAAACTGGAAGGTATGTACATGAATATCTTAACATTTTAAATGTTGGCGGAACTGCCCGGGGTATTGTTTTTATACGCCCACATTTTCATATGAACTTGTATTGTCGTCGCTCCTGTTCATGTACATGTATATCTTAGCATTTTAAATTTTTGGCGGAACTGCCCGGGGTATTGTTTTTATACGCCCACATTTTCATGTGAACTTATATTGTCGTCGCCCCTGTTCGTCCATCCGTTCACATTTTGTCGGATATTCGCGCATAACGGACCGTAACTTCCTAGATTACGGCCTCTGATTGTGTGAAAAATCACGTTTTTAACTTGTGGACAATTTTGAGATCAAATTTTTATCCGATATTGATGTAACTTAAAATGCAAGTTTACAACCCAAAGTTATCGGTGCCTTTCGATATTCGCGTTCATCGGACCATAACTTCGTTAATTATGGCCCCTGACTGTATGAAATATCGCGTTATTAAATGTAGCTTGAGGACCCTCTGGAGGTCACAACTTTTATACGTCCACATTTTCATGTGCACGTATTGTCGTCGCCCCTGTCCGTCCACAATTTCTTTGTGGACACTCTACAGGTCTTCCACAGATCTCGGTTCCCTATGAAATTGGCATGTATCGGAGGGTAACTTCATGGATTATGGCCCCTGATTGTACGAAAAAAACTCGTTTTTAGCTTGTGGTCACCATTTTCATCTGATTTTGATGACACTTGAAATGTATGTTTATAACTCAAAGATCTTGGTTCCTTTCAATATTCGCGCATATCTGACCGTATCTTCCTGGATTATGACCCCTGATTGTACGAAAAATCGCATTTTGTATTAGCTTGTTCTCTGTACATCTCTTGCAAAATGTGGGTGTATTTTGCCTGCCAGCCGATGGTTGATTTCGAATTTCATGAATATCGGACCGAAATTGCCTGACAAAATGGCCGCTAGAGGTCACAATTTTGATCTAATTTTGATAAAACTTCAAATATATGCTTATATTCACTAGATCTCGGTTCATGTCGATATTCACGCATATCGGATCATAGATTATGACTGTACGAAAATTCGCATTTTAAGCTTGCGGGAACACTGTAACGGTCACAATGTTTATTAGATTTAAGAAAACGTTTAAATATATCACCGTTACACCATAATGACAGTTGAGTTCGAATTTCGGGACAATCGGACCGAAACTGCCCGCTCCCCATACCCAAATAGTTTAAAGGTATGTAATACAAGGGTTTTAGAGGTCACAATTTTTTTATCCGATTTTAATGAAGCTTATGTTTATATCCCAAACGTCTGATTTCCTTTCAATACTTGCACGAATCGGACCCTAACTTTCTGGATTACGTCTTTCTTTTAGATTGTTTTCTGTCCAGCTCTTGCAAAATGTGGGCGTACCTTGCATGGCAACCGCTTTTTAATGAAGCAAATGAGTTAATTCCGAGTAGACGACTTTTGTAGACCTTTATCCCAGTCCTGAACATGGACGAATTCCTTGTCAGGACAGCCACTGAGATCCTTATTGGTTTAGAAGATCAAATACGGGTTGTTGCATAGCGAAATGCCAAGATGGTCGCCATGCCATATTTGGAGGAGGTGGTGTCGATCAAAAAAGTGAAAAGCTAAGGTAGCATTTGTGGAACAATTGACGCGTTTTTCCGGAACGTCCACACCCATCTCAAATCTGCCCCTAAGTTGAATTGCTGTCGTTAAAATAGTTTATAGGGATTATATTAATTTTTCAGAACGCTCGGCTCATAATGACCTGATGAACGCGTCTATAGGACATCGTTTTTTAAACTATGCCAAGACGTAATTGAAACACTTGCCAATTTCTACAACTACATGTATCTAGCGTATGAGACATAACATGTACATACAAAAAACAGATCGGCTTCTGTTTCGTTGCCTACCACTCATTGTTCGTAACATTTTTATTTCCTTTCAGAATCTATCAAACGGTATATTTGGCGAAATGCAGGAAACATCTACTCCACCACCTTGGCCAAAAATGTCATCACTAACATTTCAAAAATAAGGTGTGGTGTGGCATGTGGCTTGAGGGACCGCTGTTCTATTTTCTCGTACACTAAGATAAATACAGCCTGTTGGTTGTATGACGTACAACATTTCGATACACATGACTTTGTAGAAAACGAAAACTTCAGAACCTATGTTATTTTGAATTAGTCTTGGTGATGATGGTTTAACATGCGTCCGAAATATCTGACTGATGGTTTTTATTAATAGACGACTATTTTTCTTCACACTATACGAATGTCTGGGCTTTCTCTTAGCTGCCCCAGGTCGACCTATAACGTTAGCGTTAAGTATCCACGACGATTTTTATCGACAAAACCGGCTTGTCGAATGCAACGTTCCTAGCGTTACTTCACTTATAAACAGACGACTTGCACTCGTTTGTTTACTTCCTGTCTGACATTTTGACAGTTAAAAATCTTACTGTTTCTTCTTGAAAAATTATAATAGAACGGTGATATTGTCTAGGCCTATTCAAAAATGTTCTTCTAATCACGGATTACCATTATGACATGGTATTTATGACGTTATGACGTCAAACCTCTGGGTCGCTTAAACGTTAAGGATACTGGTTTTCGCCAAAGCCCTGTATATACGGCTTTGGTTTTGGCGTATTTATGTCAGGGGAAAACCAAAATTGAATTATTTTTTTTTTTATTAAACTACCTTAAAATATTAGAACCTTTTTGTCATTGTTCGTTTTGTGTGTGTAGAAATGGGAAATTAAGGAGTACAATGACCTCTGCTCAAGCTACCAATGAACTGATTCAGAAGGGGTGGTCTATGCAATGTGGCCCCCAGTACTTCCGACATTGTAATTGCAAAGTTAAAACTTTATACGCGTGAAGTATTTGATGCATTAAACAAGTAAAAATATGAAACCTCAGCTTTTTTATTTTTTATTATAAATGTTTATGCCTATGTGGATGATTGAATGAAACTGGTTTTACTTTAAAATATCTCCCAGTTGAGCTGAACTTTGAGAAGTTAACATTTGTTCCGCCTTAAATTAACCCACTGAGCGGGACAAACTAGCATCTTATCCAGCTGTTAGTAATGGATGTTGTGCACTCGATAGAGTATGTTAACACATTCTAGAACACCTAATACCACTTTTTGACGATATCGCATAGTTAGCACTTTTATGTTCATACTTTCGTTTTAGGACCACAACCCCAAAAGGAACCCCCAAAACAACCCCAGGTTTTAACTTTGTGAGCATTTCAGTTATATGTGAAAATACAGATTAATCCCAAAGACAACCCCAGAGTTGGGTTTAACGTCCTACTGTTATGTGGTGTAGGATAATTTTGCTTGTACTGCTGCGACTCCGTTTAAAGCGGTATTAGGTAAGATTAGACACAGGACTGACAGTTCCCGCTATAATAGTTCAGAACTAGATAATGAAAAGAGAATATGCCGAAAATTTCATTATTCAAATTACTTCATTCTGGGCCTAGATATTAGCGATGAAATTATAGGCTAGCCTCGATCGTCATTACTACCGTTATCACGATAATAAACAAAATCTCGATTATCCAGTTTTATGGTAACCGCATCCACCAGAAAACGTATTTGAATCCACTCAATATAGCATGCATCCGGTGGTATCGAAAGTTGATTACGGTCTTGGTAAGTTAATAAATGTCTAATAGTTTATTTAACACTTAAGGCCTAAAGAAAGACCTGCAATAGACAGATTTAGCTCTTTTCTATTCTCGCTCTTGCATAAAGCATCTTTAATCTACTTGGATTTTCAGCGGTCAAGACTTCTTTAATGAGTAGGCCTACGTCAATGTTTACATGGGCTGACATCAGTTTATTAACAATTTCTGTTGTATGCATAGCAGTCATATCTCTGACATATGAAGGTCGGCTTTTAAAACAAAACAAAACATGGTTCTTATTTGAGTGAACAGATAAAAAACACTTTACAGTTTATCAATTACAGCCTTATTCCGGTTGATTGGCTGTTGACGTCACACATACAATAAAATTATGATCTTATCACAATCACTGGTGTGTATTGACAGTTCAATTAACATAGTGACTGACCTAATCATTACCACATTATAATCATCTACACGCAACCTACAAATCACTTGAATTGTTATAGATTACATACTTGTGGCTGGAATATTTTATAGTAAATTTTAAAATGCAACATTATCTTTGTGTTGTGAGAGTTGTGGAAATTCCAGCAAGTGCCGTCGGTTCTCTTCCGACAAAAGTAACGACATTCTCGTTCATGAACATACCCCATACAAACGCGGCAACCAACATGAATCACTAACGATCTATATTACACCCAACTATCAATTTAGAATGAAAAGAATTCCACGCCGAGTACATTACCGGTGTCAGATCAAATGAGAAAGATATAACGGAAGGACGAGCCGGTAGGACAGATACCCTTGACACAACGATGGGCGCGGAGAAATATGTTGTATTTGATATACAATTAGTCCAGGTAAGTGTTAATTCGTATTCGTATCACGTTGAAATAATTAAATAAAGGATAGTACAAGGCTGTGTGTAAACCTATATCTTTGATCTGGCCGCGTACAAAAGATAATTACCTAATGAGCGTTCTTATTCCCGTGAGCGCTTGTCACATTAATACACAAATATAGTCAAATACCTTTTCTCAAACAATCTGTTATTCAATTCAGATGGTTACCAACAAAATTAATTAGCCCAAATTTAGTTGCACTGGTAATAGAAACATAGTGAGATATCTTTCCTGTTTTTAGAATGAATGAATGAAATGTGGTTTTATGGCACGTCAGCACCAACCGCCTGTTTTTAGAGAAATGAAGTCAAATCCAGCATCCTGGAGAAGGACGGTCTCATTCGCGCCGTACTATGGCTCCAGGAATATTATATGAAATGAAATGAAATGGAGTTTAACGTCCTACTGTACTGCTCCTAACCTGGGCTAATGAAGACGGGGGAATATTATATACAGTTGGCTACTCGGTAAATGGATCCGCGAAAATCAGGTGAATACGAAGCACTTATTCGATGTCTGGCACGAAGCGAACGGTTTAAATGTGTTTTATTTCTAGCTTAATAAAGAGTTTGGATCATCATAAAACATACCATTGACACATTAAAGTAGACTATAATGACTATATATTGGAAGGTCGTTGGAACGAAGTAGTTTTTCAAATAAATGTTAATTATAACATTAGAATTATTACTGTTTCTTCCAGGTTTGAAGACAAAATTGATGGCACTTGGAAAAGAAAACACTATGACAGCATCAATCTCTGGATTCGAAGTATAAGAACCATCTTTTATTGGTGTGGGGAATGTGGCTACAGCGACTGTCTTTGTTATGGCATTATAAAACAAATAAAATAAATTAAAGAACAAAATTTTTCGTAGCCAATTGTTTTATTTAATTGGGGGATTCCGGAATCAGCCAGGCCTTAAAGAATTACATGCCCAGCTGTATATAGATAAATACGGGAGGTCTATATTTGGGACTTTGCGTGAAGATGGCTGATTTAATTTTAATCAGGTTGATGTGAACTTGCCGTAAGGTGCATGTAGTAACCGCTGACTACAAGTACGAAAATTTTGTTTGGTCAGTTGATATGCTCTTTAAGCAACTATTTCTCTTCGGTTAAAAATAGACTTAATGAAAGATGGACTTTTGTTCCGCAATCCTACTATCTATAAACATATTTTTTTTTATATAAATTTTGAAAGCAACAAATAGAATTGTGGCTGTATATAACCACTGTCTGTTCATCCACCATTTCTTGTCAAATCTTGTTAACGCAATAAATGCTGTATAGTTTTAAATGAGTTGTTTTCAGATTTTGAAGAACCAGGTGATAAAAACTACCTTAAATAATGATTATGCTGCAAGTTGTTCTTCAGAAATTTCGCAAAGTCGACCTTGAAAATAAATAACATCTTGGCAACCCGAAGATACAAGGCCATTGACCCTGGTTTCATTATATAATACTATATACCACCAATACTTTATAAGATTATAACATTACAGAATAAAACAACATAAGCTTTAATTGTGTCAAAACAATGCTTGGTTAATAATTAATTTGAAAACATTTCTCAGATATTTTATAGGCCACAAAACACATTCTGGTTCTCAGCTGCAGACACCGCCACGACATCCAAGATTGCAGAGTTCACACGGCAGTCATATTTTCCGCACACATGTATCACTGAAACATAAATTTAATTTTTTTTATTATTCGTTCACTAAGTACAATAAATATGAAAAAAATAAATAAATACATAAAAATATATACAAGTTCTCAATTAATACAGAGTTGATTAATTATTTCATTTAAGTTTATATATTCAGACGGTGAACAGTCTCTTAAATCTATGTATTCTCGTATAGCATTTCCTATTCTCTTATCATTTTCCTTCCAGGAACTTTTATCGTGACATTCTATTATATCTACAATATTTAACAATGACTTATGTTCTAAATTGTATTTTGTAATATTATTATGATATGATAAGTAATTGATATTATTGCACATAGTAGACTGACTTCCCAACAACGCAGTCCGTCCACATATATGAAGACATAAATTTCTACTATGTATAATACTATGACAAAACTTAATAAAACGTTTATGAAGCTGAGTTTCAATTGACAGATCCTGACATATAATATTCAATAAACTATTGTGGGTTCTTGGGGAAATGTTGAATACTTCCCTAACCTGTTTTCTCCAGGCTACATAAAAACTCTCTAATGACTTTTGTGAGAAATCCCATAGTTGGCTCCCATACAGGGGCATACAATAAGTTTTGAATAATTTATACTTAACTTTAGATGAGGAGAATGCCATAAGTTAATAATTAATTTGAAATCAGTTCTTAGTTATTTTATAGCTTTTAGGCCACAAAAACCCCCCAATGTTCTGGTTCTCAGTCACCGTGGGCCACGTCAACGAAGATTGCAGACATGTTTTCCGCACACATGTATCACTGAAACATAAAGTCCTAGAATGCTGAAAATTGAAAGATTTGATCCTGGTCTATCCCAATGCTTCACAACAAATTTGAAAATAGGATTCATCCGCTCACAGTTCTAATGCTGCTCACCAAATTTAATAAAATCCGTTAACTATATAGGCTCTATCGCATTAGTAAGGTCTTTTTAGGTGGGTGTTGGAGCTGCAAGCTCTGTCGTGTTAACAAAGGTTTCGGAAATAAGGGTGGTGGTGTTCACCCAAGAATGAAAAGTTATCCCTATATACTAACAAATTGCCTTCAAACCAGCGGCTTTTGTTCCAAACTTGTTAATGGAGTTGCAGTCTGTTAGGTGATGAGCAGACACAAGGACTACCCAGCCCCATCCACAGTTCCTTTAAACCACGATTCTTTAAAATGTACTAGTAATGCAATACAAGCGTCAAGACATCAGTAGTGTAATTAATTTCTTCTCGCAATTTGAACTGGTTAGGATCACGATTAGTATGCATTTGTTCTTGGCTTGCGCTAAAAGATCTACATATTATTCTGTGAACATTACTTCCAAAGCTTTCCGTGAACCCTCCAATTTCTTGACAACCCAAGAAACAACTGCCACTCTGCCATATAATTTTTCTGTCATATTGGGAATAATTATGCCCAAATTATCCAATTCCTTTAAATCATAGATACCTAGAGATACCACAGCGGGGATAATTGTTTTCCATATATGTATTACTAATAGTAGGATTACCAGCTTGCGATAGATATTCATCTTTCAAGATTTTTCAAGACATTTAAGTCTATGTGAGCGACTAGTCCAGTCGCCAAACCCAATATGTCGAGTGAACCTGGAAATTGTATACAAAGTTCTTTTTATAATTGATTTTAGAAGCC